TGTTGTTGTTGTTGTTGTTGTTGTTGTTGTTGTTGTTGTTGTTGTTGTTGTTGTTGTTGTTGTTGTTGTTGTTGTTGTTGTTGTTGTTGTTGTTGTTGTTGTTGTTGTTGTTGTTGTTGTTGTTGTTGTTGTTGTTGTTGTTGTTGTTGTTGTTGTTGTTGTTGTTGTTGTTGTTGTTGTTGTTGTTGTTGTTGTTGTTGTTGTTGTTGTTGTTGTTGTTGTTGTTGTTGTTGTTGTTGTTGTTGTTGTTGTTGTTGTTGTTGTTGTTGTTGTTGTTGTTGTTGTTGTTGTTGTTGTTGTTGTTGTTGTTGTTGTTGTTGTTGTTGTTGTTGTTGTTGTTGTTGTTGTTGTTGTTGTTGTTGTTGTTGTTGTTGTTGTTGTTGTTGTTGTTGTTGTTGTTGTTGTTGTTGTTGTTGTTGTTGTTGTTGTTGTTGTTGTTGTTGTTGTTTGTTGTTGTTGTTGTTGTTGTTGTTGTTGTTGTTGTTGTTGTTGTTGTTGTTGTTGTTGTTGTTGTTGTTGTTGTTGTTGTTGTTGTTGTTGTTGTTGTTGTTGTTGTTGTTGTGGTGTTTTTTTGGGTGTTTTTTTTTCTTCGTTCTTTTTTGTTGTTTTTGTTGTTTGTTCTTTGCTGTTTCTTTTTTTCTTTTTTTTTTTTTTTTAAAAAAATTGTTGTTGCTGCCGTTGTCGTTGCAGTTGCAGTTGCCGTTGCCGTTGCCGTTGTTGCTGTTGCTGTTTATGTTGCTGCTCTTGCTGCTGGAATGGTGACGCAGTCTGGCAAATTACAGTGTTTCGGCAGTTGGGGGGGGCAACTGCACGGAGCGGGGCTGGCTCAGCAGCTTCGGAGCATCCCCGAGAAGGGGTGGGGCGGACCCTTGGTTGTGAGCCCTCTATTGAGCTTCTGCTTTACGATTTTCAGCTGGGTTTCCGGGCGGTTTCCGCGCGGACGCGAAAGCGCGGCGTCGCCTCGTCGCATTTGCGGCCCAGGTCCGGACCCTTGAAGCTGCTGCGGACGCCGGGCAGCCCACGAATGCAGAGGGTTTTTGGGCCTTGGGAAGCAAAGGTTGGAAGATTTGAGCAGCTAGACTTGGGATTCTTGTGAGTACTGGAACTCCGGATGTTTGGGGATTCCTGCTGACCTTTGCTAGGCTCATTCCCCTCGCAGCGCTGCTGGTGGCTGCTGGAATCTCGGGCGGGACGAGGGGCGATTGCTGGATGTGCAGAGGTTTGTTGGCGGCTTGGGCACGAGCCTGCCTTGATGTGCGCACACACACACACATCTTTCACGGTTCTGGCTGGAGCCATTCCTTGCATTTCCAGCAAACATGCTGCCATCCACGCCGGTATTCGTCAGTGTGTCAGAAGTGACGCCTGAAATGCAAACGTATGATTATTTGTGCGTTGAAAGGCTGTAGTCTCCTTTCTTTCAAATTTCATAAGCTTTTAAAGTGATTTGGTACGATTTTCCCGTGCCCACGTTGCCGCAAAGGCTGGAGCTTTGATGGCGGCGGTGAAGCAGATGTGGTTCATCGTTGCTCGGCATGAACAGCAGCAATGAGCTTTGGTCGTTTGGGTGTTGTGTGCAGTCAGTGTGCAGCCTTAAATGGAAATCAGGCAAACTTGGGAAAGCTGTGCGGAAGGTAGCCGTGTTGAAGGCAGGATTGTACCTGGTCACGCACACAAGAGAAGAGCTTGAATCTCAAGTGTTGGTCTTGGATACAGACAGCGAAGGGGCTGACAGGACGGCTTGTGCTTCACCTGCTCTTTGAAAGAAGACTCGGCGCACTCAAAAAGCCGTTCCAATGATCAATTGAGAAAAGGCTGTTCCATATTTGAACGCAAAGCCAAACTGACCAACATGGTGGCTTGAGCTTGATAGATAAGAAGCGCAAACAGGTTTTGCGTTTGCTGAGGCGACGTGTTTAGACGCATCCTTCTGGAGGTCTAATGAATGTTCAGGGGCTTGGTGCAAGTTCTGAAAGCTTGAAACAAGGCTGCGGCCGGTAAAGGCGAAGAGAGCGTGCCAGAGCTGTTCCCATTTATGTCCACGAAGCTGACAATCCAGGCCCTTGAAGTGATTTTCTGCCAGCCTCAAGAAAAGAAGAACGGGCATGACTTGAGGTAGCGGGATTGAGCCTGCCATCCATACAGCCAGAGTTGAGGCTGTGGTGGTGATTTGTCTGACCTACGCCGGTCTGCCAAATGTTCCCCTTCAGCTGGGGCCTTGATGAAAGAGCTTGAACAGAGGCAAGATTATGCGAAATTAGACATTGAATTCAGGTCAGCATCCAGCTGCGGGTGAGAGCAGGATGCGTTCGCGGTTATGTTTGCTTTGGCTGTTGCCTGCAAGCGCAGATTCAGACTCTGCATGAGCGCTCACATGTACATCCAAGCCATCAAACTCAGGGTGACAAGCAGCAGACTGGTCCCGTCCAATGCAGAAACCTTTCTCCCTTGTTGTCCAGGAAAGGGGGATCTCAGCTTCCATCGCTGCGTTTTTCAAGCCGCAGCGATTGAGGCGAATTGTCGCAGGTGTGCCGGGCCCAGCTTCCGCCGGGAGAGGCGTATGGTCAATTTGCTCAGCTCAGTGTGGCGGGATTCTCTTCGGTGGCATTTGTTGTCAAGTCAACGCCCATGCCAGCTCAGAGTTTTTTTTTCCCGCTCTGGAAGCCAGCGGCTACGGCCTTTACCTTAACTTCATGAACGCCGAATCGTTGTCAGAACCAATGCTTTGTTGAAGTGGAAAGAACTTGTGACAGGATGTAGAAGCAGATGGGGTTGTTGCAGCACAAAGGACATGCCGCTTCCTTAGCCGCTTGTTCGGGTTCATGACAATGAGTATTAGAATTGCAGCAGGCAGGGGTACATTTCAACTTGGAGAAGTCAAGTTTTCCCGAGGCTACCAACTATGGATCTGTTGTGGCAAGACATTCCTCCGAATCTGAAAGACTTAGAGGCTGATGGCTCTTGCCAAGTGAGGCCACTTAGATGGCAGGCATGGTTTTTCGTCCTGGCTGATCGCGTGCGCAGAATGCACTCGCTAGAGGAGCATAGGCCAATGGAAGGAGACTGCCTCTCTTCACAAGCCAAATGGGTGTGGCTCAATATTACACCACCAGAAAACCGCAGAAAAAAAAGGAAGAACATTTGCCAGAAAGAGCACACGGTTTTGCACATGGTTAAAGCACATGGTTAAAGCACAACCATTTACAACCAAAGTTTAATTTCGGGGTTACCCTTTGCTTGACAACCACACCCACATCTCCAACAAGCAGCCGGAGCGGTGAGAACTGAGCTGAGCGAAGGTGGCACCTCCTGGTCGCACAGGCGAAGCACTGGCTGCGGCTGGCGTCTGCACCTCAGCTAAGGACAGCAGTCGGTCTTTAAAAGTCGGGCAACCCCAAAATGGGTTGAACCCCGGTTCATGGAAACATGGGCCAACAAAACTTGCGGCCCCTATCCTGGTAGCTTAACTTTTTCACCCATCTTCCTATTTCACAGCTTGAAAACTCCCATCTCACAGCTTCATCGCCGGTCTCGCCCAAGAAGTTTGGATGAGGTGTTTCAGCAGCTGGCTGGGCTGCTGGGCAATATGGCCGGAACCTTGGGAGCCTCCAAAGGTTCACCTTTGGGCACCTTTTCGTTTACATGGAACCGTTCGACGTTGGGCCGCGGAATCGATCGTGGTTTGGAACATCCGACTGGGTCCTGAAGGTCAGGTTCCAGGTGAAGGTGGGAGGGTGGATGGTACAGGCACAGCTGACGGATGGGAAGTTGGCCCGTGGACAATGGCAACTGAGCCCTTTGCCAGTCGCTTTGTTGGTCGGAAGGGGAGCGCAATGCTTGCTGGTTACATTTGCTTCCCCCACACTTGAGAACCATTTCATGAAGTTATTCAACCCAATGTGGAACGCGTGCGTATGTACCGGGGGTTTGCCCGGCATCACGGAGGGATTGTTCACTTCCTGAGCGCTCGCTTGCTTGAGCGTGACACCAGAATCACCACGTTGGCCTCAGGTGGTGGCCTCTCTGAACCCCCTGCTGCTGAACAGCAGCCTTCCCAACCCGCTGTGGGCCAGGGCCTCGGGGGAAGAGAGAGACGGAGAGACTTGAAGAGATATGAGCGCTCATAGGTTTTTTGGGTATGGAGTTTTTGGTATTTAATCCGCAGGAGGTTGGTGGATCTGACAGGCAGATTGACCCACTGTGCATGGAAATCCTGCACCACTTTGAAACTATGGTTGAAACCATGGTTTGTTAGTATTTACCAGGGAATCATCAGAAACCAGGGTTTCTTAGGTGGTGCGAAAGGGATTTCGTTCATCCACAGCATTTCGCGGACTCAACGACCTGGCTCAGGTCTACTACCCCGCATGCGGCGCTTTGGTGTTGCTCGCCCTGGGCCCCAAATGCAGTGGCGAGGGGCGAGGTGTTCATGCACACATGGGTGTGTCCTTTGTTGGTGGACCACCCGAAACGGTGGTTTTCCTTTTGGTGTCCCTGGCAATCCAACCAAAAAGGGTACGCTCAAAAGAAGACAGACCCACATGTGGACAGACACCGCGTTCTGTCCAATGGGTCACAGACATGGTTGAGTTGGTGGCACCACGACCGCCGCTCGCAGTGCTCAAACGCCAGCAGCTGGTGTCCTTCGTGCTGCTGTGCCGCCCAACGTGAGCCAGAGGCGATTTCAAGTGGAAAGAAGGTTGACTGGATGTCTAAGAAGCAGTTGCTTCTGTTGGAAGGCCTGGTTATCACATACCTTCCTTTGTTGCATATCCAGATCGACTTTGCAGAGTCAGGACAATTCTCCACATTGACGGGCCTGTAACCTGTCTGACGCAGGTCAGGCTTGAATCAGGACTGCCTCGTTTTGATTTCCAGCGGTCCCATATTTTGAGAAAACCTTGATTGAAGTGGATGCCGAAAGGCTGCAAGAGGCCAGTTTGTTCAATGAGCGCCTGTCACTCCGTTCAGGGTGGTGAATCTCAGCTTGGGCGAGAGCCATGCGCAGAAGGATGCAGGACAGCGAGCTCTGACATGGTGGCTCACAATTAACCGATCGGAGGGGCAAACCGCAGGTTTTGGGAACCATGCTTCCACTTACCGATCGGGCAACCCATGTTGGAATTCCGTGTTTTTTGGTTGCCACAGCGAGCCATGTCCTGAGACTCATGCCGGGGGAGGCCGCTCGGAGCTCCAGTATGCAGCCATGGTAGGCCCTGGTAGCCGTATGCGCACGTGCTGCAAGCGGGGCTTGGTCGCGATGAACAGCGGTCCAAACATGCTCCAACTTGGGATCCTGAAGCTGAACCTGGCAGCCCACCCCGCCCCAGTAGCCTTAGCAACATGAGCCACTTGCTCAAAACCGATTCGGGTAGATGAAGGTTAGTAAGGGAGAATCCCAACCATAAATAGCTGCGGATATCCGCCTTCTTGATTCTTTACATGGTTCTGGGTAGACCATTGCCATATTCGGGTTTTGCTTGTGACTCACAGGTCGTTAAGGCCGAAACGTGCTCCCCGAACCTCTGCGAATGTCAGGAGGGCCAGGCGCTGGCTGGGCCTCCGGGGCCAGCGGGCGGTTATTTGGCCCTGCCAGGTGCCGGCCAGCCAGGCGCGCTGGCCGTCTCGCGCCCTGGCGACGGTCCTGGCAACCTTGCTGCCTGGATGCCTAGCCACCTTCCTCCCTTGTGCCTGCTTCCTTCTTCCCAACTTTCTGACCTTCCGACCTCCCTACTCTCTTCTTGATTATCATCATTTTTTTGCGGTTGTGGCGGTTCCCAAGCTAAGTGGCAAGCCCCGTTCAAAGCACAAACAGCAGCTTCACCTCCAAGAGAAGCAGCGGGAGCCAGGATCATGTCTGTTTTTGTTCAGACTCGACTCAAACCTTTCGCAGGTTTCTTCTCGGCTTGTTATCCTTGAGCTGAGCCACAATCAAAGCCCGAATAGATGAAGGTTAGTACAAAAGAATCTCAAGCATCACTGGGGTGCAGCCGCCTTTCTCATGGTTCTGGGTAATGTTGACCCAGGATTCATAAACCCGTCCAATTATTAGGGGGGTGTTCCCTCCAAAAGTGATGAATCCCCACTAAAAGGGGCCACCCCCCAATAGAAAACAGCCAGGGGTTTATTAATCCGGGGTTAACATTAGACCATTTACATCGTCGGGTGATCATGACTGAGCCGCGCAGATGCCGCGGTCGCGGTGAACTGGGCGGAGCAGCTTCCTTGGCTGCGGGCGCTGAAGCATTTGCAGCTGCCTCTTGATGCCTTCAACCTGGGCCTCAGCAGTTCCCTGGCTGTGGTGGGCGTTTTGGGATTCCATTTTGGGTAGGTGAATTCACCACCCATTTTAGGCTTCCTATTTTAGTGGTTGGATTGGGATGTTCACTGGGGGCTAACCGATTTGGATTTTGACCCATGGCCCCCTGGCAAAGCCTCCATCGAGCGCGATTTGGCGTTGCCCGCTGTCAGTTGTTACACATTCTTTGTTGGATCCTGTTGCCCGCTGGCACCAACATGCGGAGGTAAGTCAGAAATCACTTGATGTTGAGCATAGACCCCGGTTTATTCATTTGGGGTGTCCCTGATTTTAGTGGGGATTTCTCAACTTTGGAGGGGAACACCCCCATAATGATAAACAGGGTTTAAGTTTATATACTATTCCGGGTCAACATCATCAGGTTCAATGAGCGATGTGACAGCTGGCGAACTGGTTGCGCAGCTCCATGTTGTGCCTTTTGGATTCACTGCCTGGAAGATATTGAAACGTGTATGAATTCGCCATTGGAAAAGCCACGGAGTTTAAGAGCGTTGCACCTCCATCATTGTGTCTCAGACTACGACTAATTGTTGTCCAGTGATCGCTGTGAAATCCGTCACAGATTTCGGCAGTTGAGTATATTAAGCAAAAACCTTGCCCTTTCTCTCAGCACCCAAGCATAAACACACACACACAGAACACAGAAACACACACCCACACCCACACACACACACAAACATGCAAACACACAAACACGCAAACACGCAACTACACCCACACACACACAAACACGCAAACACACAAACATACACAAACACGCAACCACGCTAACACGCAAGCACACAAACGCAAACACAAACACACAAACACGCAAAAACATAAACACACAAACACACACACACACACACACACACGCAAACATATATGTATATATATATATATAACAAACAAACACACAAACACGCAAACACACAAACGCAAACACAAACACACAAACACGCAAAAACATAAACACACAAACACACACACACACACACACGCATATATATATATATATATATATATAAAAACACAAACACACAAACACACAAACACACAAACACACCAAAACACACAACCACACACATACACAAACATACAAAAACACAAACACACACAAACACACACACAAACACACAAACACAAACACACAAACACACAAACACACAAACACACAAACACACAAACACACAAACCCACAAACACACAAACACACAAACACACAAACACACAAAAACACAAACACACAAACACACAAACACACAAACACACAAACACACAAACACACAAACACACAAACACAGAAACACAGAAACACAGAAACACAGAAACACACAAACACACAAACACACAAACCCACAAACGTGCAAACACACAAACACACAAACGTACAAACACACAAACACACAAACACACAAACTCACAAACACAGAAGCACACAAACACAGAAACACACAAACACACAAACACACAAACACGCAACCACGCAAACACACAAACAGACGAACACACGAACACACGAACACACGAACACACGAACACACGAACACACGAACACACGAACACACGAACACACGAACACACGAACACACGAACACACGAACACACGAACACACGAACACACGAACACACGAACACACGAACACACGAACACGCACGAACACACGAACACACGAACACGCGAACACGCGAACACGCGAACACACGAACACACGAACACACGAACACACGAACACACGAACACACGAACACGAACACGAACGCACGAACGCACGAACGCACGAACGCACGAACGCACGAACGCACGAACGCACGAACGCACGAACGCACGAACGCACGAACGCACGAACGAACGCACGAACGCACGAACGCACGAACGCACGAACGCACGCAAACGCACGAACGCACGAACGCACGAACGCACGAACGCACGAACGCACGAACGCACGAACGCACGAACGCACGAACGCACGAACGCACGAACGCGCGAACGCACGAACGCACGAACGCACGAACGCACGAACGCACGAACGCACGACCGCACGACCGCACGAACGCACGAATTCACGAACGCACGAACGCACGAACGCACGAACACACGAACACACGAACACACGAACACCCGAACACACGAACACACGAACACACGAACGCACGAACACACGAACACACGAGCGCACGAGCGCACGAGCACAGGAACACACGAACACACGAACACACGCACGCACGAACACACGAACACACGAACACACGAACACACGAACACACGAACACACGAACACACGAACACACGAACACACGAACACCCGAACACTCGAACGCCCGAACGCCCGAGCACCCGAACACCCGAACACGCGAACACGCGAAGACGCGAACACGCGAACACGCGAACACACGAACACACGAACACGCGAACACACGAACACACGAACACACGAACACCCGAACACACGAACACACGAACACACGAACACACGAACACACGAACACACGAACACACGAACACACGAACACACGAACGCACGAACACACGAACACACGAACACACGAGCACACGAGCACACAAGCACACAAACGCACAAACGCACAAACTCACAAACGCGCAAACGCACAAACGCACAAACGCACAAACGCACAAACGCACAAACGCACAAACGCACAAACGCACGAACGCACAATCGCACAAACGCACAAACGCAGAAACGCAGAAACGCAGAAACGCAGAAACGCAGAAACGCAGAAACGCAGAAACGCACAAACGCACAAACGCACAAACGCACAAACGCACAAACGCACAAACGCACAAACACACACAAACACACAAACACACAAACACACAAACGCACAAACACACAAACACACAAACACACAGCACACACAAACACACAAACACACAAACACACAAACACACAAACACACAAACACACAAACGCACAAACACACAAACACACAAACACACACACAAACAGAAACACAGAACACACACAAAACATACCCATACACACACGCCCGCCCGCACAACCACACACTTCCCTCCACTCACGCGCAGCCAACCACGCACGCACGACACGCACACATGCGACGCAACGCAAGGCAACGCAATGGAACGCATGTCACGCAACGCAACGCGAAGAACGCAACGCCAGCAACACGCGCAACGCAAGGAACCCGCCACACGCGTTGCGCGCAACGCACGCCAAGCGCGCAACACGCATGCACGTACGAACTCACGCACGTACGCTTGCTCACACGCACCCCGGCACCCACGCCCCACGCACAAAGACCACTACGCAGAGAAAAACAATGAGAGACACACACAAACAAGCAAACGCAAACAAACATACACACACACAAACAGACACGCACACAAACAGGCACACACACAATGACACACACACAAACAGGAAGAACACAAACACAACATATACACAAACACACACACACACACACGCACACACACACACACCCACACACACAAACCCAAGCACAAACACACACACACACACACGCACGCAAGCGCAAGGCCACACATGCAAACCGAACCCGGCACGCACACCCACACAGTGCACAGGCACAAAAGCACAGGCGCACGAACACACAAACACACAAACAGAAACAGAAACAGAAGCAGAAACAGAAGCAGAAACAGAAGCAAAAGCCATATGTTTACATTCCGCGCAGTCACACACACAGGCACACACCAAAACACAAGCACCCACACAGAACCAGACGCAGACACACAAATACGGACAAAGGAAAGAAGCAAAAACAGCACTAAATCAAGCGCACCAGAAACAGAGATATAAACACAACCTACGCACGCAAACAGAGACACATACACAAACACAAGCACGAGCACAAGCACAAACACAAACGCACTAACACACAAACACACACACACAATCGCAACCACAACCACAACCATACCACCCATACAAGCACAAACACAGTTACAACCATAACACACACACACACACCTTCACACACACACACACACATATTTGCACACGCAGCCATCCATGCATGCAGGCACCATGGCAAGGTATTGCACATGCTTTTAAATGGAAGTTCAAGTTGCCAATTGCTTGAATGGGAAGACTGCGCGCCCTTGAGGCGACGGGTGCCTCGCCGGGCGGCAGCTGCTTCGGGAGGTGCACGGGTGGGAGCTGCGGCGCTGCTGCCTGCTGGTGCTGGTGCGCCGGCTCGAGGTGCCGAAGGGCTGAAGGGGGCACCCCCGTGTCCTTTCCGTGTTGGAACCTTTTAATATATGGAAGACCCGTACTTTTGAGACACCAGGCATGTTGAGGGTCCTTCCATTGAAGTGGCGAGGTCTTGCACGCTCGAGGTTGGGGAGCGTTTGGTTCTGTGCCTTGGGCACAACTCTCCAAATGTTCTTATCGGAGTCCTAGTGTTCCCTGCTCGGCGAGGTTCTTTTTTGTAGGGAAAGGACAGGAAGTCCCGAGCCAACTTCCGCCTGACACAGCACACCAGAGATGAATGCCCAGACACTTTCGCTGCCACATGTGTGGGCCGATGTGCTTAAAACAAGTAGCCTGTGCGATAGAGGTGCGTCCGTTTTGCTTCGCACCCAGGTTGTGGCAGGGGAACTGCAGGCACAGCTCGCAGACCCCAGCGGATGTGCGTGGGCCTCTCTTGGATTTGGAGGCAGCGAAGGGGGTGCTCGGGAGACGCGCTGGTGATGAATGAAGTTTGGGTTGAGCAGGATTGCTTGGTTTCATTCCCAACGGGTACGCTACGCCGTCAAAAAAAGGAAGCTGCACTTTCGTGGCGAACGGCTGACATGGTGAGGTGGCAGAGGGGTGAAGCCAAGAAGCACAGGAACCCTCTCCGTTTACCCCTGGTCGGTCTCATGTGCCAGGCCGCTGCTGCGAGGGTTCCGTGCTTTGCCTCGTGGGTGCGCTGGTGGTGCAGGGCATGGTCTTCGTGCCCCCGAGCGCTGTGGCGCAGGCGCTGCCTTCGAGAGAGAGATTTCGCCAGTTTTTGACACGCGCCTTTGATCGCTTTGGCGCAACACAGGAGAACAACCCACAGGGAGTGGCAAAAGATGTCAAATTTGCTACCTTTTTGAGTAAAGGGACATCCTCCTCCTTGGATGGTTCTTCTTCAAATTGCACACGCCCAAGATGCGAGAGGATTCTTTTACGTCACCCTGGACTTGCATTCCTTGCCTTCAGCGCAAGGGTCTCCGCATCGGCAGGTCTTTCCACCCAGCCAGGGATCTTCGGCGGAGGCACAGGAGCTGAGAGCGGCCGCTCGTGCGGTGGAGCGAGCGGCACGGAGGGATGAGTACGTCCAATGAGGCCTCCAATCAAAACTCGGGTAGATGAAGTTGGACAATCCCAACCACAAAAAGCTGCGGATATCCGCCTTCTTAATTCTTTACATGGTTCTGGGTCGACCATTGTAATACCGGGTTTTGCTTGTGACTCACTTTGTGGCCTCTGGTTGGTGTTTCGGAGCTACGCATAGGACTTCGGCCAGACCATGGCAGCCCGCAGCCAGGAAGTCAGGAGGCAAGCAGTGCAGGCCAAAGCTGCTTGATCATGCCATATTCTAGCGGACCAGGTGGGCAAGATCATTGCTCGCATGGCAGACTTGAGTCTTACCGAATTCAGGGGCATGCGTGGTATAAGTGAAAAGGCGCGCGGCAGCAGCTCGAAAGTTTGGTGCAGAGGATGGATGATTGGGACAGATGCCAAAACCGACTCTTTGTTATCTATGGAAGGCTTGCCTGCCTCTCGTTGGCCAAATATTCTGACGTGTCCTCGCTTGTACCCCATGTGGCAAATGGTTGTGCCTTTACGTACAAAGCTAGGAAAGCTATCTCACAGTGAGTGTGGTTTTCGGGCTTATTCGCAAGTTGGGCGCAGTTCTTGCTTGCGAGCCGCAAGCTCGCTTGCCTCCTCTTGTTTTTGCATGCCGCATGCGCAGAATGATCTTTCGGCTTTGCTGGCGTCCATTGGTCTCTCAAAAGGCAGCAACCCAACTTGGCCCTGCGCGCGAGTCCGTTCTTCGGCTTCCCGAGGGCCTGCTGCCGCTGTTGGGCACTCCGCGCGGCGGCTGGGGCGCGGTGGCCCAAAACTGGGCGGTTCCCGTTGGGAGTCGGGGGGTCGGTCCGAGTGGGCCTGTCTTATTTTGAGGGTACCGGCTTTAAAGCGAAACCAAGGGCTTTCCCATCATGTTTCTTTTTGGGTTGGGGGGGAGGCGTTCCCTAAAAAAGGTATACACCCAAGTAATATTTCACATTTCTATTGGTCGTCTCAGCTCCAGCTGAGCCGCTCTAAGAGAATCGCATGCAAAAAGAACAGCACAGTTTGCTTGCAACATGCTCATGTTTGGCGTGGCAGTTGTGGCACAGGTCAGGTGCCTGTTTGAGAGTGTTTTTGAAGCGGCTTGGCGGGATGGCTGCCTTGAGAAATTTAATGGTTTTCCACAGACTCATTCCATTCACACTGTGGATGGACGAAATTCATTTTGCACCGGAATGATGATTTTCGTGTACATGCCAACAAACGATGGTTTCCCATGGCTTCCAAGCGGTACAACATTTCGTCCATCCACGGTATGTCGACATTCCTCTTAACAGGGCCTACCCTTCCAACAGTGAGATCATCTTGGAGCATCAATGCTGGCCGTGCCAACGAGCAACATGTGGCTGTGAGCCCTAAGCTGTCAACAACAGAGGCGAGTCCCCTCCGAAAGCTGCTTGGGGACCACGCGTATCGGCTTGGCCGAGGGAGCGCAGGGCGTCAGAGTAAACCCATCCATCCATTGCACGGTAAGACATGACCTGCGACTAGCACACTCGTCAAGAGCTCAGCCATGAAAGTTGTTTGCACAGGCAAAACTGCATTCATGGTGGGGACCTACCGAAGGATATAAATTTGCTTGGACGGCTGTCATGCTCCTGCGCGCGTTGTTTCGCTTGTCTTTCGCGCTTGTTTGTTCTTATACATGCTGGACTGAGTGGCATCCGGTCGAGGCACGGCAACGGGCCAAATCTACGACCAGGCACCTGGTGGCGCTTGGGGCCTGCATATCGAGAAATACCTTCTTGGTCCTAAACTAAGGCCACAGAACGGAGGCACATCTGTTTTGATGCCTCCAGTACCCTCCCACCAGCTAACATGGAAGTGCACAGACCCCCGCAGAAAGACGAGTCTTTCCTCTTGGTTAGTTGGCCTTTAGTTGGCCTTTTTGCACAAACTCATGTTAGTTGGTGAGGATACTGTGTCGGAATCCTTGTCCCCTCAAGCGAGATAAGCCTCAGTCATGCACAGCTCTCCCCGCATCGGAAAGCTGCACCGACGCCAGATTCGAGCTATAAGCTGGGCAGATGGTGCCCTGTATCGATGGAGCGCTTACGCACAGAGGCCTCGGGCCGGGGGCGTCTGGGGTGACTTTGAGTCACGGGTGACGACTCCATTTTGTTTTTTGCCACCCAAAGGTGGAAACATGATCGACCACCCTGTAGTTTTTAGGATTCCTTTTTGAGGGGGTCGCCCATTTTCTCACACAAGGTGGCAAGAAGACCCCCTGGTGACGACCGCATGACCGGCTTAGTTGCGGGAGGATGAGTCGTCTGTTGTTATTGCAGACACGAGAAATTTGGCAGAGCGGGTCACAGAAGGGATTCATCAGGGTCATGCAGCACAAGGAGTTACCGATGTTTGTTCTGGGCGGTAGCCTTCTTGAGTCCCAGGCACCGCACAATGGGAGAAGTTACGAATGTACGAAGGCATGTTCCACGTGAGCGGACAAATCGGCCCAAAGATCAGATGTCGGAAGCAATGTGCTGGGCCTTTTGGCACACTGACACGCACAGTCCTTCTTCGCCTTCTTCAAGTCAGCACTGAGAAAAAAGATGGTATCTGCTAGCTGTGTTGATTGGTGCAGTCAGTAAGGACGGATTTTCCGGCCAATTGAAAGAAGAGATCATGTTGGACATGGAACCCACCAGGTGCCTGGAAAAAGGCCAGTGGTCTTCCAGGACCCCTCGGTTTTTGGTTCCATGTTAGTGGGGAAAGAAAAGAAAAACATGTACCCTCGGGTCCACTAGTATGGAACCCACCAGGCGTTTCTTGAAGGAAAGTGGTCTTCCAGGACTTTTCTGTGAGGTTCCATGTGAGTGGACAAGTTCTGTTCCATTGCGGCAGCATCTCTCCGGTTTCGAGGCAGCACGATGCTCGCAAGGGCCACGGGCTGCACCTCGGCGTGTTTCGCGGGCGTTTCAACTGGTCGGAAGGGCAAAGGGACATTTTGGGTGAATTCTCACGACCTCACACGACCGAATTCACCCCAAGTGGTGGTTTAGTGTGGGGAATAGCCCAAACATAGTTGTCCATGGGACAATTTGAGGCATGGCTCATTGCTTAGAAACGTAGAGGGCCCTGGTTTGCCTGGTGGTTCAATCATCTAGCGGGGCCATCTATTTTCCAAAAAGGACACCTATGCTCACAAGGCTGCCAAGGTCTTGAGCTTCTAACAACCGACCCTTCTTCTTTGCACATCCCCTGAAAGCAAGGGCCTTCCTTGGTTGAGTTCCGGCTTTGTATTTGTTTAGTGACTTTGTTTTCGGAAAAGCACTGGACCAGACCACGAACCAAAGTAAAAGCAACGCGCTCGTAGTCAGTTTGACAGCGCTGCACCCCTTGCGTCTGGAGAACTCATGGAGCATTGCTAGGTTTCCGAGGACAGAGGCCCTCGAGGCCCTTCATGCAACCACAAGCACCAGACAAAACACCCGGAATCCAAGCTGTGCTGTTTTTGTTTGCAGCCAGCAAAGCCAATGTACGCATGCTGTGTCTTCTGATTGCTCGCGGCCATGAGAGAGGGCTTCTCCCTCCGGCACTTTGGGAATGTGGGTATGGGTCAAAACTAAACCACCAGGAATTGGAGCGCAGGTTTTAGTCCATGTTGCCTTTTCCAGGGCAACCCATTTTGGGTACCTATTGTTGACCCACAGCCATGTTTAGGGAACGGCCTTTTGAGTCGTGGAAGGGCCTCTCAGCACTCGACTCGACCTTTGCGAATCCAAGGAGCAGCTACCTGCAGGGCCAGGACAATGACATTCAGGTGGACCTCCCCGAGGCTGGCAACTTTTGGATTTTTTTGGGCTGGGTGCCAGAGTTTTTGCTTTTTTTAAAGATGAAGTCGAACAACAAATACGGATATTCGGGCGGGCAGAGACACATTTTTTCAACCCGATATGAACCATATGACGTTTTCTTGCTGGGTGCCAGAGTGCAAGGTTTCCTGACTGGCTCTTCGCGATGCCTCCGGCTGTTTTTGTCGTCGGAGGGGGGTTCAGTGGCGATCGAAGGCATTGAGCCACGGAGAAAAGACCTCTCCTTGTCAAGCATGAAGAGACCTAGGTGCAGCCGCAGCTACCCTACTGGGCAGGTAGTCAGAACTTGAACTAGACAATGTGCTTCCTCATGTTGGTGCTATCAGCTGACCCCTTCATTAGGAGAAGTCCATTTTTCATTTTGGGCAGGGTGGCCAACTGCCTTCTGGATCTGACATTTCTTTGCATCGCATCAACCGCAACACGAGCCAACTTGTTACTTGCTGCTCCAGTGTTTAGTGGGGTTTTCCATTTAGCCCACTAAAAGTTAAACTTTTAGCAGGGGATCTGAGGACAGCTCAGGCGACCATTCACTACCCTAGAGTATATTTTTGTGCTCAGCTTCGAGCCTTGATCCGCCTGCATGCCGCAGGCCACGCGCGAGGAATGCATAGCTGCCTTTGCGCTCTTTGACCGGAACAAGTCTGGGCAGATCACCAAGGAGGAAACGGGAAGTTAACGGAGCACTGCAAAAACTGCTGGTTTAGCAGCGGGGTTGGTGGTAACAGCTCCGCTTCTCAATTTGACGGTAAAACGATGTAAAGCGGTCAAACCGTAACACCGTTTTACTGTTTGTTACATTTTTTTACCTGGCACTGCAAAACTGCTTCATGTTTCCATCCAATTTCGCCGTGATTGCGCAGGAAATCGGTGAGTTGCTCAAAGCAGCCGGGCAGTTCCCCACGGAGGAGGACATTGAGGCGCGGCGCGCGGCTGTGTGGAGGAAGCTCAAGAGTGTTTGCAAAGACGGGGCTCCTTAAAAGATACACTTTGCCCATTTGAAACGTGGCTTTTTCTGGCAAAATCCAGGGAAACGAAACCCGGTAAGGATCCGTGAAAGGTGCCCCGTGAAACTTTGTGGCACATTTGTCTTGCCTCGCGCTTCGTTTTGGCCATCGCAAACGGTGAGAAGTTCGAAGTGGATTTCTGATGTCTGCCCAGGATCTTGTTGAACAGCTGGATGCTGACGCTCGGCCTGCAGTACTTGTCCTGAGCATGGCTTGTTGCAGTGCCCTCACCTTCGTTTCAGCGTCAACAAACAACAAACAGCAAACAAAACACAACAGACCAAACAACAAACAACCAACAACCAACGCACAAAACCAAAAACAAGGGCGAGAACAACAGCACAGCAACAGCAACCTGAACAGTAACAGCAGCAGAAGCAGCAGCAGCAGCAGCAGCAGCAGCAGCAACAATAATAAAACAACAGCCACAGCAACATCAACGACTTCGATGACGACGACGACAACAGCAACAGCAACAGCAACAGCAACAGCAACAGCAACAGCAACAGCAACAGCAACAGCAACAGCAACAGCAACAGCAACAGCAACAGCAACAGCAACAGCAACAGCAACAGCAACAGCAACAGCAACAGCAACAGCAACAGCAACAGCAACAGCAACAGCAACAGCAACAGCAACAGCAACAGCAACAGCAACAGCAACAGCAACAGCAACAGCAACAGCAACAGCAACAGCAACAGCAACAGCAACAGCAACAGCAGCAACAGCAAACAGCAACAGCAACAGCAACAGCAACAGCAACAGCAACAGCAACAGCAACAGCAACAGCAACAGCAACAGCAACAGCAACAGCAACAGCAACAGCAACAGCAACAGCAACAGCAACAGCAACAGCAACAGCAACAGCAACAGCACAGCAACAGCGGCAGCAACAACAAGACGCAACGGCGGCAACAAGCGACAGCTCACAGCAGGACAGGAAACAGGTCAGCTCCCTTGAACCGAACATCATCCTCAGCTTCTCTCACTCCGCTCTTGTACGTATTTCTTGACCGCTCAATCCTGAACAGCTCAAGTTATCGCAAAACGCCTATCCCAACATGGGTTGAACACGCTCTGTCTCAAGACACATCGCACCTCCCAACTGCTTCAGCTCGTGACAGAGCAGGTTAGGAGTTTTACGCATTTGTTGAATCGGCCATGTGGCGTGTGGTGTCAAGATGGGCCGAGGACGGAAGCGGCGGGCTGAACTTGGCAGAGTTCCTGGAGGTTGTGTCGGCCAATCCCAAGGCATCGGGGAGCGAAACGTGGCCCGGCCATGTTTGCTTTTGAATGAGTGCCAAGAGATGGCACGTAACCTGTTGCAAGAGGGCTCGCTTGCCGCCAACACGTCTCCTGATGCCAAAAAACATCGGGAAACAATCCCCTGGTGTCATGAGCCGTGCTTACTTTTTCGCGTTTTGGCTGCGCAGAGCATTCACAGTGACCCCGGTCAGGGGCGGGACCTTTCGGCCGAGCTGATCGAAGCCTTCAAGATCCTGGACGAGGATGCCGACGGCCAGCGGCCCAGCGACGGTGAAGATGTCAAGCTTCGAACTGGAGCAAACACCGCAAAAAGAACCGGCTGAAGCGCCTGATGAGCGCCAAGTTGCGGCTACTATGTTCGATTTTGATTGACAGTTGCAATTTGAGCACTTTCTCAGCATTCGAAACCAGAGGTTCGTTGGTTCCCCAGAAATGCAGCTTTGAGTTTCCCACACTTTTGTGGGCTCGCTGCACCAGATGCTGGCCCAGCTCATGCTCGGGTCGCAAAGTTGGGCAGACCCAAGGCTTCCTCTCAAAAGATGAGCTCCGGAAAGCAGCGAAGAAGTTCCATTCCAAGCTGTCGGAGCAGGCGGGAAGCGGCAAGGTGCTGTTTTCGCCGCAGAGAAGTGGCACAGTGCGAGCGCCGTATAAGACATCGGTTGGTCGAGGCCCAGAAAAACCTGAGTTTCTTTGCCTCCATTTCGTCTTTAAACGGCGCTTTTTTTCTGCCCCTCTGCGGTCATGGGGGCTGGATTTCTTGGCCAACTTCTTAGCTTTGTCTGCCAAGTTTATTTTTGTTAGCGGCCTTTTCGGGTGAAGGACTCCCCTGCTAAGAAATCCAGGGGCTCGATTTCTTCGCGGGAAGATCCCTTTTCGGTGGGTGTAGCAAAGAAATGGAAGCCCTCTTTGGTGTTTGGCAGCCACGCCAAAACAAAGCCTGCAGGGCCCACCCCCACAGCAAGGTGAGTTGTGTGTTCAATCCTCGGCGTGCGTAGTTGTCTTTTGCCAAGCAATTCAGGGGGCTCCTTGGCGGGGCAGGTGCCCTTTGCACTTCCCTGATGGTCAAAGATGCTGTCTTCATCGCACAAGTTTGCTAAGAAATTGGACGACAAATCAAGTGGATCTCAGAGCAAATGCAGTTGCAACCTGCTTGATTTGGCAATCTCAGCCCCTTCATTTCTTATACAATGATGTCTTCTACAGTGCTTGCGCTGTACATCCTTTGTAGTTTTTTTTGCAGCCTTCTTAATAAGACTTTTTCACGGCAAGCCTCGAGTTTGCTGGGTGCTGGGTGTACATCAAGCAACGAGAAATTCTTGATAGACTGATTGGCAGGTAATCCTTGTTGAGCGGTTGTGGCAGAAAGCAGCGGGCCTTTTCAAGGTGGCCTTGGTCTAATACCAAGTCCGCTTGCTTGCCTAACGTAGATCGAGCTTAATGATGAGCTTTTCCAAAAGAACCCCGTTTGCGAGGATCCTTTGTATTCTGCCTTCTACATCTCTCCTGCCCCTTGCGCTAGGACATTCTCCAGATGGTGGCTGAGGCGTGATGAACGTGTGTGGTATTGCCGTGGTTTAGCGGCTGAGGATATGAATATGCTTGCATGCAGCAATGCAAACTGTGACCGTGAGGTCACGAGCGTACGCATATTGATATGTGCGTGCATGCGTGCGAGCGCGCGTGCTTGCGTGTGTGCGTGCGTGTGTGTGTGAGAGAGAGAGCACGTCCAGACACTTGAATGCTCGATGCCCAAAGTATCATAAACAGATGGCCGAGCTTTTGGTTGCCATTGTTCTAGGAAGCTTGGTGGACACCACTTTCTGCAAAACACAAGCCATCCTTCTGGGTGGCCACTTCTTCCCGGGCTCTTTACCGCCGCTGGCCCCACATATCAATGAAACCACAACAACCACGCCTAGCAAGTGAACGCCCGCAGCCGTGTGTCCCCCCGCAACCCGCCCGCACGCCCGAACGCCCGCCCGCAAGCTCGCACGAGTCAAATGTCTAGGTTCGACTAAGTGGTTCAAAAAAGAGGTACATCAATGCTGCGTATTGAGAATAAGTACCAAGCAAATCAGAAAGCCATGCTGGCAGACACTTCAGCAGATGCATACTGCATCAGGCGGATAGCATTCCAGCAATACTTTTTTTTTCTTTTTTACAGGCAGAATGCCTGTTTCTGCTCCAAGATATGGACAAAGGCTACCATCGTCAGCGAACAAACACCACTGAAAGACCCTCTGTCGAAATGCATCAGGAGTCCGCGCACAAAAAAGGAGAACTCGTCACCAAAAGCAGCAGCTTCGTGGAATTTAATTTTCGTATCGCCCTTGTCTTTTCGTCTCGCCTGAGCCATCGCCATCTTTATCAATGTTGAAAGCTTTTTTTTCCCCCAGAAGTTCAATCCAAGTCTCACGTGCTGCGATGCCGTGGCAAGTCTCCCACTCGCGCTCAACTGTGGCAGCCGGGTCGTGTGCTGAGCTGCTGCATGTGCATTGCGAAATGGGATGCCACAGGCGGATTCGAGCTTTGACGGGAAAATCAGCTTCCCAGAGTTCGAGCGCATCATGAAGCTGCTTTGCGCGCAAGTGCTGTGGAGTTGTGGATAAGTATGAGGCCTCGTAAGGCTCCTGGATAGAAGTCAACTTCGCCAGCTTAGGCGGTCGTTTGGTGCTGACAGATGTTGGAATGTCTGAAGCCACACTCGGCCAGCCCTCACTTCTCGAATGTGCGGTTTTGACCTTGATTGGATGGATGGATCATAATTATTTGATTGATTCCATTGCCTGTTGCAAACTTGGACCTATAATTGACTTGCGCCCTCGCCCGAAGTTCTCCTCGTCCGTGTCTGGCGGTTTCTTGTGGGGTTGAGTGCCTTGTCCAGGGTGGGTTTGGCCAGGCTCGACCCCCCCGCTTGGGAACCGTTTCCTGCTTTTTGAGTCATCGCGTTAGTTTTCAGCGTCTCCTTCCGATGTCAAATCTTGAACCGCAAGTTGGAGATGCTATTTTTTCCGGCAAGGCAGGTCTAATATCCGGAAAGCCAAGTCTGCGATTTCTGCGTAACTCATGCCGGAATACCCACTTTGTTCGCAATTTCATGCAAGGTTGGGTTGCAGGAAGCAAAAAGTCACGCACCATGCCTCATAGCATGCTGAGGTGGGGCTTGTCCAACCAGGACCACTAGCTAAGCAATGTGCAGGGCAGCGCAGTATGCGCGTGCAAGATGCTAATGCGGTTCAGAGCAAGTCCTGCACAAGCTGCAATTGATCCTCAGTTAAATGATCCGACTGAGTCTGGACACATCCCAGCCTGCTTTGTACTGAACTCTTTCGTGTTGTGCAGGACTAACGCAGTTGAGAAGGTGGGTTCGCCCCACCCACGTTTCCTCAGGCTCAGATGTTTCAGGCCGAAGTTCGGAGAACTGAGGCATTCTCTAGATGAGAGTCACAAGCCACGGGACGTGAAGCTTAAGGGCCAGTCCCAACCAGCTGCGGCCCGTTTGATTCTCATGGGTTTGGGTTCAGCCCTTCAGTAGGTCTTGGTCATGACTCAGAGGGTCACTTCTTCTTGTCAGATGCGCCCCGTTCCTGAGGCAACTTCTTTGAAGTGTTCATGCTGAAGAAAGCCAGAGTCCTCACTCAGTGGACAACGGCCCCTGCGTTTTGTTAGAAATATCCTGGCTGTTGTCTGCAGTAACGGGTGCCAACATCGCCAATGTGTCAAAAGATGTGATGCGTGCAGACTAATGCCTGCTGGACTCCATCCATCCGAATTCTCAGCGAGGATCGTGATCATTTTGCCCACAGAGAAGAAACAGCTTTGCTTTGCTTCCGGGACCGCCTATGGATCTTGCCCATAGCGGAAGACTGCCATTCCTGGCAAGAGAACGTGCAGCGTTCACTAGCGATGCTGAAAGCGAAACCTGGTTGGCATAGCGCCTTGTGTTTCAGTTGCATGTCCTTCATGAGTTGAACAGAATCAGGATGGGTCGTGGTGGTTGTCAGGCATCATGAGGGATTGACGAAGACGTGCGGATTTGCTGGGGATGGGCACTCGGACCTCGGCACACACCGAAGTTTGCAGTGAGAGAGGCTCAGTGTAGGTCGGTATCTAGGGATCTCTGTGCTGCCGCGATGAGGGTCGCCACCTCGATGACCGGAGAGAACTTTGGATTGGATGAAGATATCTTGATTCACGACGCACAGTTTCTTGGACCGAAACGCACCAACAAAAAGCGCCGCTGGGGTGAAACCCAACCTCAGCATTGGGCTGGGGATGTCAGAGAATGCCAAGGTCTTGACTCTGCTGGCACTGTGCATCCCGGTGCCAAGCCCGAGTGCGGGAGTGGGAGAAAGGGGGGGGCGTAGCCACGATTGTGCTGGGATCAGTGGCTGAGATGCTTTGCCTCTTGTTGCATGTAGACTTTGGTTATCGCATGCCATGCGTGATTCTTGTCCTCAATCTCCTGGACCTGGGGCAAACCTACACTATGTGGAAAGTGCCTTAGTTGGGTGATGCTAGTCCATACACATGGTCACTGTATGGGCTCAAGAGTTTGCATCGAGCTGAACAGAAGCCCTGCTCAGTCCATTTCAGTCCGTAAAGAAATGGACTAGAAAAGCTGGTGTTTCCTGCTTGATGCAAAAATCGCTTGCCTGCGCCTGAGGCGCTGGCTTTCGTGCCTCCTGCGCAGCAGCCAGTGCACCAGGCAAGCAGAAGGGTGGCAAGGTGAGCACCCGATGCAGTGGGCGACTTTGTAAATGCGCCCGACTCACGAAGGTTGACCCTGGTTTTGTGGAATGCAAGAGGGAAATCCGTGGGGCCAAATTAAAGCTGGAGATGTAGGTGCTTGGCTCGTCCACCTGCATGAGGCGGTGGCCCCTGCGGGCGCTTCTGCGGCCCCCGAGGTTGAGGCGGGGGGACAAACTTGATCTGGAAAAAAAGGCAAGCGACAAGACCTGGATTCTGCTAAAACTTGGCCTTTGGTTTAGGCCTGCCGGGCCTTTCTTTTCTTCAGACGGAAACAAATCAATCACGCTTTGAAGTGCGCTTGCTTCCTTGACTTGGTGTTTCACGTTTCGCCCCAGGCGGCATCTTCGCCGGAGCCCCGACACGGAGAGTGGCAGTCCTTGAAACTTGCTGGTGCTCAGGAAAAAACTGACCCAGGGATGTGGAAATGAACCAGTTTTGGGGTTTCCCTTAAAGGAAGCCCTAGGTTTTATGTTTCGTTTTTTTTCTCCGCGGTCCTTCCCTGCCTCATTCCCTGCCTCTCGAAGCAGCAAGCCAACCGCGATTCGTCCCGTGCAGAGGTTCTCCACCTTGGCCTTCGGCGCCAGCGTGGGCTACGCGTGCGCGGCCGTGGGCGCCGCAGCGCGCCAGGCCGGGGAGATGCCTCGGGCGGTGAGGCGGCTCAAGTGCTATGGAGGGAAAGCGTGCAGGGTGTGTCTTTTTTTTGGGGGGGGAAACCGTGGTAAGTACACTTTCTTTTCCCCTGTGTCCTGCCCTCTTTGTGCCAGTGGGAGGAGCCCCCCCCCCAACAACAAAGGAAGAACAAAAGAGAGACGTGTTTTTTCTGGTTGGTTTCCCTTCAAAGCCCCTCCAGAAGTGCCACCCCCCCTCCCTCGAAGAAGAAGAAGAAAAGAGAGAGGCGTTTTTTTGTTGGTTTCCCTTCAAAACCCCTCAAAACACGGGTACCCTCAATAGACGCACCCCTATGCCTGGGAAGACTGCACCTTGCCTGGATGTTTGGTTTTGAGGTGGTTTAAGTATTGGCGGGTGCGGGGGATGTCTACTCGCTGGTTTAGGGTCCAGTCCCATGCTTCAAGAAGCAGTGCACTGGCGCCCTCATGAGACTGCACTGAGTCGAGTGTCACGCTTTCAGCCGCGTTTTCCATCCCCCTGTGTTTCTTCCCTGGTTTTCCAGTTTTCCCAACGCGCAGTCTCCACCCTGTGGTGGTTTCCCTCGTTTCCCTTGTTTCCCTTGTTTCCCATGTTTCTTTTTTTCTCCCCAACGCGCAAGAGATGGTGGCCCTCTCCTTTCAGCACGAGACGAAGGAAGGACGCCCGGGGCCTTGGGGTTCCGCCCGTGCCCAGGGCCGCGTGGCCCGGAGGGCGGAGAAGGCCTCGGTGGCGAGGCGCGCCCGCAGCCCGCGGCGCGCGAACCGCGCGGAGGGAAGCATCCCATGCCGTTTCGGAACCTGGGGAGAGGAACCTGGAGAGACACGAGCTGAGGAAAAACCGGTGAGAAGGAATCGGCGAGAACGGGGGTTGAACTGAAGGGGGGTTGAACTCGGTTGAAGGTGCGGACCTGATTGATACTTACTGGAGCCAACTGGGGGGGGGGGCGGGAGGGGTTCAGAATTGGCGGAGAAGCCACCAGAAACATGTGCGCATCTGGAGTTGGCTTATTTGAGGTACTTGAATGAATTTCAGGCCAAACTGGCTTTTGCTTGAGGCAGGCTGATTGCAAACAAGGAGAGGGATGGTGTGATGATTTTCGCCACACCCTGCTGCGACGTCTCCTTGGCCCCGGACAACAGGACACCGGTGGCCTACCCCATCTTCACCTTCCGCTGGCTGGCCGTCCATGCACTGGTGGTCAGGGGCCAAATTTCGCAAAAGTCCATGTGGACGGGAAGCAGATGTGAGCCCATCATGAGCCATCATTGCTGAGGACTGTCTGTGTGATTTCAGGGATGGTCGCAGCAGGGCACCAGCCAGGAAATTATAAGTAGGTAGGTGCAGCCTTCGTGTTTCGGGTGTTGATGTGAGCCCATGAGCCCATCTTTAGTTGATGTGTTCATCTGCCTCTGGGCGCGACACCCAGGTCCCCACCGTCTTCTTCCTGGGCGCCATCAGCTCCATGCAGTTCATCCAGCGCTGAGCTGCAACGCGATTTGGACCTCTCACTTGCATCCAGGTCCCGCACGTCCCCAAAGGATCTGCTTTCGGGTCCGGTGCAGCCCGTGGCACCTTCGGTGCGTTCTTTTTTCTCAGGGGCCGAAAGCCAGAGCCCGCCGCCGAAAGCACAATCCAGAAAGAGGCGAGCAGCACAGTGGCATGGGAACTTGTGACGACCTCGGTGGCCACGGTTCACCTTCTGTCCTGGACTGGTTTGTGTTTCTCATTTGCGCCGCGAATGGGACCGGATCTCAATCAAACCATGACCCTGAGGCTTGTTATGGCCAGTTCACTACTCTGTGCCTGGACCATCTCACTGCGGAGTTTTTGCTCGAGTGAGCATTGCCCGCGCCCCCTTGCAATCCGCCGATTTTACAACAATGGCAATCAGGGTCGCTGCCTCAATGTGAGCAGCTAGGGCCGTGCCTGTGAAAGCTAAACAAGATGTCGTGACAAGGCTTTTCTGGAATTTATTTTGCAGTTGATTTCACGCAAAGAGAAGCCAACGTCAGCACTATGTCTTGCACCAAGGGCAGTTTGCAAGCTGATCGCATCTTCCCGCAAGCATGTGTTGCAGATTTGACCGCCACGAGATTGCCAGAGTTGGGCGTGGTAAGTTGCGATGGTCGATCTTGCTGTAGCAAATCGTCTCTTTATAGCTAGAGCATCATTTCTTGGTGGCTCCCAGCCATCCTGTTAGCTTTTTAGCCTTTTAGTGTTTAGTGGAGTTAGTCGCTTTTCGCGGGGGATCTGAGGGCAGCCCAGATTTGAGGATTGACTTGACTTTGCAAAGCATGAACATGGTCGTGCGTGAGGTGCTGTCCTTCTTGGCCCTCTGCAGCACGGCGGGGAGTTGACCTTTGTTGCAAGAACAAAACATATATGCCTGCTTGTCTGCATTTCTGCTTTTTTTTGATGCAGCGGGCTCAAAGAAGGTTTCTCTTGAGGGATGCAGGCGTTCGTTTGCCACTTTTGCAAGGCGGGAGGTCATGCACTCTGCTTGATATCAAGCAACCACCACGTGGGTGTGTCGTTTTCGTGGCTGCCCTGTTTCGGTGGTTTTGAGGGGAAGCCCCAGAGGAAAGCCTCTTTCTTTTGGGAGGTGGTCCCCCCAAAGACATACTCATGAGTGCAAGAGCAATTCCTCCGGAGCCAGGCCTTTGCCTTTGTGGCCCCCGTGCCGAACGCCCAGCACCAGGCCCCCCCTGGTCGACGGTCCACTCGCTCCCTTCAACGTGTGGCACGTCTTTTTTTGGTTTTGACCCCCCAGTTTTGGCTTCAACTCGGGCGAGGAAGCGGTTGGGGCCAGTGTCAGGCGGAAAACCAGGTGGACCGGTGAACGTGGATTTCTGTCCTTCTGGGTTCCCTTGAAACCAACCCCAAAACAGAGGTACCAACTCCAAAATTGGAGAGCCGCACATTTCCAGGCGCCGGCTGCAGCGGTTGCTCCCCAGATCAAGGCCGAGAGTGAGGTGGGGAACTTGAGTCCAGGTAAGCCACCAGGGGACCGCAGGTTTTGGTCCATGTTGCCACTTACCAGGGCAAGCCATTTTGGGTACCTATTTTTGACAGCCAAATCATGAAGCGCTGTGCAAGCCTTTTTAGGTCCGCAGTCCTGCAGACATGGTGAATGCCAGGCTACCTCCTCGCCGCGCTCCCGGACACTTCTGGATGCTGCTTGAAGGTTGTGAAGGGCTGGCCCGTTTCTTGCAACAGACATTGCCAGAAGAAGCAATTGGGCAAGCAACCAACATGGTTTCGTGGTTTTTCATTCTTTTGGTTCAACCAACCATGGTTTCGGTGATTCCATATTCTTTTCCTACCGGCTTCCCTTTTTGGACACTTCCCCTTCAAACGTTCACCCACCTGGTTTGGCGGTTGCTTCGGTCTGGATTCGTATCGGTTTGAAGCACATCCGACCTGGAAGGGGGGTTTGAGGTGGACCTCCCTGCTGGCGGGCGCATCCGTGGGCTATGCTGCCGCGGCGGTGGGCGCGGTGGCACGCCAGGCACGGGCAGTGCTTCGGGAGGCCGACAAAAGCTCCGCAGATGGGTGGCTCTTCCCCTTTTTTTGGGATTCCCTTTCGGCCAACAAGGGAAAACACAAACTAATTCTTTTTGAACAAATTGTGGATCCCTTTTATGTGGTTCCTTTTTCTTGGTGGTTTAAAATGCAAACCACAGGGAAAGCCTGCCCGCATCCGCAGATTGATGCCTGGTGTACGAAATGTGTGCAGCTTTGGAAATCCATTGAGGGGCTCCGATCCCTAACACAAGACACCAATTGCGATTTGTGAGGTGAATTCTGAACCGTCTCGGGTGAGGGTTGTGATGTCGGCTTTGTGTCTTAACATGTACTGAGAACTCGATCACCATTTCGGCGAACCAATCTGAAAGCTCATTTGGCTGTGGGTCAAAACCAATGGGATCCCATTTTGGGGTAGGTGCACCACCCATCTTAGAACCTATTCCATTGGTTGGATTGGGATGTTCACTGGGGGTACGATTTGGATTTCGACCCATGGCCAGGTAACCCTTAGTTGGTGGATGGGTGGTTTGGGAGTTCGGGAAAAAGAAAAAACACACACACATGGTTCTTGTTGAGGGTAGATGGGGTTTACCACCCCGCGCTCCAAACCGGGAATTGAGGGAAGTCCCATTGGAGAGTGCCGGTGGCCGGGACGATCGGTCGGGGATGGCTTCCCTGGCCGGAAATGTTGACCCCGGATGAATCACCCCCTGTTTATTCATATGGGGGTGTCCATTTCTGGTTTTAGTGATTTTAGTGGGGATTTATCAGTTTTGGAGGAACACCCCCATGTTAATAAACAGGGGTTTATGAATCCGGGGTCAACATTATCCTTCAAGGGTTTTGGATGGCTTTGACTGGTCAGTGAGTCTGCTGAATAGCCTTGATTCGCATTGCATGCTTTCCATCGTGCAGCTGATGATGGTTTCTTCCATTTCCCTCCTCGCTTAGCTTGCTGGTGCTCAGCAGAGAATGAGAGAAGGAACCTGAAGATTCCCTAAAATGAAACCAGAGGGGATGGTTTGTAGGGGTTCATTCCATTTCTCATTCCCTGCCTATCGCACCAGCAAGTTAGTAACAGGGGGGTCTTTTTGCTACCTTGAGACAATTGCCGATCCCCTCAAAAAGGAATCCTTCACAACGGGTCGCTCCCCCTCTCCGCGTCAGAGGGCCTTGCCCAGGGCCGTGTGACCCGGAAGGCGGAGAAGGCGTCGGTGGCGAGGCGCGACCACATTCGGCAACCGCCAATTTGAGACCTCGGCGAGGGAAACCCGCAGAGAAGCGCGAGGGGTGCAAAAGATCCAGAGAGAGAGAGAGAGAGAGAAAGAGAGTGGGTTGAAGTAAGTTGAAGGTGCGAATCTCAGAGCCAAGTCAAATTTATGGTGCTCGAAAACAGCGATGCTAAGAAGAAGAAGCCACCAATACATCTCATGTGCGCATCTACACTCAACAAGATCCTCAAGTTCAAGAGCCGAACTGAGTGGCCTGCTGAACTTCAACTCAGATGGTGTGATGGTTTCATGACGCCCACCCAATCCTCATGCTGCGACGTCTCCTTGGTCCCGGACAACAGGACACCGGTGGCCTACCCCATCTTCACCTTCCGCTGGCTGGCCGTCCATGCACTGGTGGTCAGGGGCCAAATTTCGCAAAAGTCCATGTGGACGGGAAGCAGATGTGAGCCCATCATTGCTGAGGACTGTTTGTGTGATTTCAGGGATGGTCGCAGCATGGCACCAGCCAGTGTTGATGTGAGCCCATGAGCCCATCTTTAGATGATGTGTTCATCTGCCTCTGGGCGCGACACCCAGGTCCCCACCGTCTTCTTCCTGGGCGCCATCAGCTCCATGCAGTTCATCCAGCGCTGAGCGGGTCAGGCGAGAGGCTCTCAGCCTCATGGTTTTTGGAGCGGAGCGCGTGCGCGCGAAAAGAGGCGAGGCTTGCTGCGAGCTTGACCTTGAACATGGGTGTCTAAGGATGATCCATGACTGTGTCGGCGACTCTGTTCTTGCAGCATGTCCAAGCTTCTTGAGGCTTTCCGAAGCCACGTTTGCTTTTGACGTAGCCTGCCACAGCCAAAATAGAACATGGGAATTCAGGTCCCCTATGCTCCCCCTTCTGCCCCATGGTTTTTGGTGCTTTTTTTCCCCTGCCAGATGGGATTGCGAGCCGTGAGTGGAGTCCTTCTTACGCACTTCCAAAGTATTCCTCTCACCGAAGCCTTGGCTTTGCCGGGTTTCAGTAGCCAGGGTGCAGTGCAAGGACTTCGGGAAAAGCCGAGCAATGCGTTCCAGAGCAAAACTGGGCTCAAGCCGCAGAAAGGGAAACCAGAAGCCTCCACAACTTCCAAGATGAGGGCGACGCGCTCAGAGTGCAGCTTGACAAGGGGTTCTCAGCTGGGTTTTGTGTCAATTGGTGGAAGGGTTAAAGGGAATCCACGCCGAATTGACTCCATGCAGACCCAAGGAACATGTTCTGCTCGACTCAGCTTGGGATTCGTGGGGGGAAGAAGCCAGGAATGCACCAGACCGGAGGAATGAGCTGTCCATGTCAGCTTTTCATGCGGTATGCAAACGACTTCGTCTCACCTGCGTTTCAACATCTTGGCGATCCTATCGTGCACTCATATGCAAGTATGACACGATACAACGTGCTGGCGACCACACTTTGTGGATCAAACTTGTGCATGGACACCAGACAACAAGCAGATGGAGGCCTTCCGGCCGGTGTCTGGCTCTTTTCACTGGCGCGCTAGCGCCCCGCGAGGTGCTCCTGTTCTTGGCTTCCGTCACCACGGCCCGGGCGCCGAAACCTGTGTCCAGCGTTGTTGACTGGAAACTACCGGTTGCTGATACACAGAGAACCATGAGCTTTCACTTGCACCAGTTACTCATCCCCCTTTTTCGAGAAGCCTCCATAAGAAACCTCTAAGAAACTCTTTTGCCAGGGCTGAACTTTCGCCTGATGGAGCCACCAGGTGATTGAACCACTTGGTTCAGCTCTGAACAAATCAAGAGTAAGAAACTATCAGAAGATAGTTTGGTTGATTCAATAGCTGAAAGTTTGCTATCAACAAGCAGATCGCCTCTTGGTCTTCACCACTACCTGTTGGTTGCTTTGACCAGTTGATCAGCAGCTCAAAAAGTAAGAAGCTGCTCGCGGCTCAAATACAAGAGTCGGTCCCGCCTTGAAACAGTAAACAGCTATCAGCAGATAACGAGGTGATTGCTTGCCTGGCTATGAACGAAGTTGCCGATTGGACTTGGTTCGGCTTCAAAACAAACCGCCGATGTGAAATGTGAAACTCTCCGCAGATCGCTCGTTAAGAAACTATTTGCAGATTGAGGTTAGGTTTGCAGACAGCCCCCTCACCCCCTCCCCCCCTTTTTGGGAGACACCTTTGAGAAGTTGCTTTGCTGATTGATGGCGGGTGCTCAGCGAATGAGAAATGGAAGGACCCAAGAAAAACACATCCAACTGGTGGTGTCCTTTAGTCAAGGGAATCCCCAAAGCTGGTGGATACCCACAACCCGCACTCGGTCATTGTTGGGATCAGTTGAACCTTTGGCATTCCAACTCATTCCCTAGAACCTCTCCAAAACCTCCCCAAATCCTCTCCAAAACCTCTCCAAGACCTCTCCAAAACCCGCCCAAAGCCTGTCCAAATGGAAGGACTCCCCCCCAAAAAAAGGGTGATGCCGACTCCTTCCCAGCTATCGCAAGCCGGTGATCGAAGACCAGGCAGTGGCCTTTGTGGCGCCCATCACCAAGCGCGAGGCGCGGTGGAGTCGGGTGGCTCTTTTCTCATTTTTCTGGAGCCCCCATGAGGGTTTTGTTTGGTTTTCCCGGGAAAAAAGAACAAGGCAAACACAACACAAACAAACAAGCCAACCAACCAACCAACAAACAATCAAACAAGGAAAAAGGGGGGTTCAAACTCAAAAAGGAAGCACCACCCATGTAAGACGGTCCATGTTTGGAGCAAAGGCCCACTTTGGAGCCAGCTCCAAGCAAAAAACACCTCGCCGCTGCGGTCGTCGCAGCATGGGCCAGGTGCCCCTTCCCGCTGTGGCAGCGCCAGCTGCAGAGGTCTTGCGGGTAGTCGCTTTTGTGCTGAGCTGCTACATGAGGTCTTGTGCAAAACCTTTCAGTCCAACCTGCAATGAAGTTAGAGCAAGTTTGAGTAAGGCCCTCTTTCATGGCTGAAATTGTTTCTATGTTGACTTTGAGATAGCCTCCTGTGCAGGCACCCTGTGTCTCCATGTGAGCGTGGTTCATGTTGGGACACCACAATGAGTGTGGTAAGCCCTGCTTTAAGACTACAGCAACTGCCGCTCGCTACCTATGTCTTACTGCGCATTTTTGTTTTCAGAAGCCCCCAATCATGACTTCCGGTTTGCTTCTCCTGCTTGATGGTCGCTGCCTCTTCTCACCAGTATTTCCAGGAGTCCAGCGCGCGAGAAGCTCAGTGTACTGGCAGTGACACAGAGGGCGAGCCACAATACATCGGCCATATGGAAGCAAACTCAACACTGCCTACTAGACCGCAGCTGCGAACGTCGTGTCATGTGGCAAGATGGCCAGGACGCATGGTGAGCAACGGCAGACATGCATATGTGGCTGTGGGTCAAAACCAAAGGTACCATTTTGGGGTAGGTGCACCACCCATTTTAGTCTATTTTGCTGGGGATTGGGATGTTCACTGGGGGTACGATTTGGGTTTTGACCCATGGCCGTATGCGTGTTCCATTCGCACAAGCCACCAGGAGCCCAAGCCAACAGCAAAACCTGTCTCTGGCGGTCGCATGCTCGGAGGTTCTCCACCATGGCCTTCGGCGCCAGCGTGGGCTACGCCTGCGCGGCGGTCGGCGCCGTGGCGCGTCAGGCCGGGACAACGGCTCAGGCAGTGCCATCTTCCAAGGGGTCGGTTGAGCCGCCTTGATTCGCGTTCGTTTTCCAAGTTCTCCGTCATCCTCTGGGTTTATGACGGTTTCTCCCCTGCTTTTTGGCGCTCCCCTCCCAGAGCACGACTTCACCGGAGAGGTTTGGGGGGGCGGGGGGGCGCCGGGGCCCTTGCCTCCCAGGGCCGCGTGACCCGGAAGGCGGAGAAGGCATCGGTGGCGAGGCGCACCGCGTTCACAGCGACCTTTGAAGCTCCCCCCGTTTCAGCAACCCGCTGGGCACGGATGGAAGCATCGCATTCGATTTTTTGGAAGTCAAGGAGAGAAAGAAGCAAGAGGTGAAGACTTGGTGGACTGCGCTGAAAATCATGAAGTGGAGCTCAAAAACGGCGAGGGTTTCAATATTGACGCCAAGAAGGGAAAGCAACCGGAAAGAGCTTGTGCGCCTTGGGAGATAGTCTATTCAACGAGGTACTTGAATTACAAAGTTCGGCTGTTGCTTGCAGACTGATCCCAACAGGAGTTGAGAGAGGCAGTGCCGAACGCGTTTTCGGACGTCGAGCCGGCGACGTCTATCTGAGCGAATGGGCTCCGCTAGGACGCCGGTGGCCTACCCCATCTTCACCTTCCGCTGGCTGGCCGTCCACGCGCTGGTTGCCCGGAATCCGAGAAGAACTTCTCCCTTGGGGTCGTGGGTGGGACACAGTTCTGAGGGTCCTTGGGGGGGGTTCTTCCCCACATCAACCACCATTTGATTTGGGATGAGGTCGTGTGAGGTCGGAAAATCATTCACTCAGATTGACCTGGGGGCAACATTCATACAAGTCTAGGGGATGGCTTAAAATGAGCTTCGGCGTCTTGCTCTTGGTGCCACTTGCTTTACAGCCGAAATACGCAAAGTGTATCACAAAATGTTGGGAAATGTGATAAGCGGCACGCACTGGTCAAAACCTCGTGTTTAGCTTGATGTGCATCTCAACCAAAACAATTTCCAGAACATCTTAACCCTCGGAGGATGATCCATTCTGAGCCTTGAGACAAGCCCACTGTTCTAGTGCTACCTTCCCCATTCTTTCCAAAAACCCAGGGAAACGGTTCCGGTGTTATAAAATAACGATGGTTGGAAAGAACATCTCAGAACCTATTTTAGTGGTTGGGTTGGGATGTTCACTGGGGGCTAACCGATTTGGGCTTTGACCCATGGCCGTTTGACTCATTCCAGCTGCAGACCTTGGCAGCTGGAAACTGCTCGGTGGCCTCCTCTGTGGCCAAACCGCCTCTGTGAGAGGTGCCTACTGTCTTCTTCTTGGGAGCCATCAGCTCCATGCAGTTCATCCAGCGCTGAGCGGTCCGCGCAGCGCGTTTTCCCCCCAAAGCGAGCTGCAAGTGCCGAGCCCAACGCCTGTTCCGAAAGACTGAGATGGCCATGGGTCAAAAGCCCGTCCCCAAAAAACATCCCAATCCCCAGTAAAATAGGTTCTAAAATGCGTGGTGCACCTACCCCAAAATGGTACCATTGGTTTTGACCCACTGCCACATGAAAACCTGGCTTTTGCCGAAGGAGCCCTTTGGTGGATCACGGGCTTTGGGCAGGGTGCTGTTGTGACCAGCACCGGTGCTTTCTTCAATCGGTGGTGTGACAGAGCCGCCAGCATTCCGCAGGTTCACGTCGGCTGCGGCATGCGCGTGATGAAGTTTTTGCGCGGGAAAAAGAGGCGAACGGGGCAGTCTGATGCTCCTATTTTTGACCCACAGCCATCTGGAGATTGGTCTCGTTAATTGAAGCTAGGACTTGTCTTCATGATTGCCATATTATTTTTATGCGTCATGCTTGATTTGTCTTGCAGTCTTGGGAATTGAACGCTTCGAGTTCCTTTAAGACAGACTGTACGAAAGCCTGCACCACATTGAAACGGGAAGCCATGGTTTGTTGGTATTTGGCTGTGGCTCAAAAAACCGGTACCAAAATGGGAACCCTGGTAAGTGGAAACATGGACCAAAACCTGCGGTTTGCCCCTCCTGGTTAATTTTGAGCCACACCCATTTAACAGGGGAATCGTCAGACACCCGGGTTTCTGAACGGTGGCGCTTTCGGATGGATTTCGTGCCTCCGCACCCGGAAGTCGTGAAGCTTGGCGTGTGCCATTATGGGGGTTGATCCAAAGGTTGTTTGGAAGCCACCCAAAATGATTTGACTTTCCCCAATATGGGACAAGTTTTACCCTTCAGATATGGGTGTGTCTGTTTTTAGACCCCCACCCAAATGGTTATGCTTTCCTCTTGGTTTCACTGTAAAAACAGAAAATGGGGTTGCCTCAAAAATTGATCAACCCCCCAAATCTGCTTGACTGCAGACTAGCGCTTCAAGCCGCCGCCCGCCGCTTCCGCCGCCGCTTTTTGCGATGATGCGAGCCGAGAACTTAAACTCAGAGAGGAGCTTTGTTTTTTTTTTGGCCCCAAGCGACCCTGCAAAGAAGGGTGGGCTTGAACAAAGCTGTGAATCTTAGCCTTTCTTGCTTGAAGCTCAATCTTTGAGTGAGGTCTCACATGCTTCCTTCATTGGCAGGCACTTGCTAGTCCAAGAGTTTAGGTCGCACGGTGCACGCTGAGATTTCGGCTTTGGAGGTTTTGGTTCGAGAGAAGATTCAGAGGCTTTCCAGACCTTTGTGAGGTTCTGCTGTTCACTGCCTGCTGCAGCGCCGCAGGGCCGCCAAGAAAAGGAGACTGAGATGAATGACATTTGCAGGAGTGGGTGTTGGTCGAAAATAGGCTAACCCCAAAATGGAACCCTGGTAAATGGATTTCAGTGGGACCCATTCCAGAGTGACAGAAGGCGCATGAAGCTCAACAACCAACATGCCTTCTGGCAGAAGAACGCATGAGCAAGCCTTCCGCGCAGCTGGCGCTCACGCCTTTGACACCGCGGCACTGCGATCCTATCGCCTGAAAGTAGTCTCAACTTGAAGAACTCAGGAAGTCAAGCTCATCAGCTAAGAAGGCATGGCTCGTTCATGATCACTGGAAGCCTTGAAGAGCGGTGCTATCAGAGCTACCGATGCAATCGCAGTGGCACTTGGGAAGTTTCACGATAAAAGGGATGGGACTGACATATGGCTGCGGCTCAAAACCAATGGGATCCCATTTTGGGGTAGGTGCACCACCCATTTAAGAACCTATCTTAGTGGGGATTGGGATGTTCACGGGATTTTGACCCATGGCCATATTGGGACTGATGAAGGATGGCAACTGGTGATGCTATCGGATATAAAGATCGCATCGGTGATGATAACGGGAATGAACCCGAGTCACCGCAGGGGTCCCTATATTTCCCTTCTTTGGTGGTTTTTTAAACATCACTTTTTTTTTAGTGTTTTTTTTGGGTGGTTTCTTAAACATCCCCTTCTTGGCCCACGAAAGGTGAGAGTCCCTTGGTGGTGATGTTTTTTAAGGGAAATTTTGGGGCACCACTTGAAATCGCCACAAGCAGCTCTTTACGGCGGCCGCTCCGTGCTTACCTCTAGCTGCTTTACAGCATTGCTTTTTCTGCTCAGCACACTTGGTGCCACTCACCAGCACTTGCAACTACGGATTGCTACTTCTTCTGTTTGTTCTCCTGCTTTTGCGTCTTCTGGCTGCTGATGGCTGCTGCTGCTGCTGCTGAAGCTGCTGTTGCTGCTAGCACTAGTGCTGCCACTGCTCATCACGCCTGCTCTCCAAAGGTCTGGGGGAAGCTAGTGATACAAAGCCGGTGGGTTCCATGTCGTGCATCATGAGCTGAAACCCCGCCGACACGCAGCTGGGCCCTGTAACTCGGCCTGCGCGAAGGCCCTGGCCTTTGTGCCGCCAGCACAGACCGCTGCAAGGCCGCAGGCGCGACTGGAGCGGAGCTGGGCATGGCCAAGGGTTTAGTTGGAACAGCTGGATGGTTGCTGTCGCTTGCATAGTCAAACTCCGAATCTGTGAACCGAGAGGTGAAACAGGGAAACAGCAGGAACGCCAGGGTGGGCTGGCGGGCGGTGGGGCGGTGAGGTGGGGGTATGGAAGCCGGGGTGGGTGTTGGGGGCGCGGAAGTGGTCGGACCACAAGGGAAAGCGGGGCCGATTCTTAAATGACCTAGCTGAGATACAACAAGCCGCTTGCTTGTCTTGGCAAATGTTGAAGCTACGGCAATTGAACAGAAATCAAACCAAGGACTGCCGTGTCTGACCTGTCGCCAGATGGTTTTCGCACAGCGGGGCAAAGGCATGAGGGAGCGAGCCGCAGCGGAAAAACAGTCCGTCGGCCGATAGGGAAAGACGAAAGGGTCCCCCCTTTTGACGCTTTTGAAAAGGTCCCAATGAAAAAAATGCCGCTGTGCCCAACACGGAGCACCCTGATACTGCGGCAGGCTGTGAACTCGGGCATCGCCGCGCAGCCGGCAGCAGCCGAGGCAGGGCAGGTTTGCCCGGAGGCATACATGTTCAGCCGAACGGTCCGCTGGTTCTATTTCCTACTTGACGGGAACGCCCTACTGTTGGTGGACGAAATCCTGCATCACTCGTTATTCATAGTGGTATGAACCACCTGACCAAGTGGTGCAGGATTTGGTTCATCCACAGCATGATCAAGGTTGCAAACTATGGATGTTGTGACCTTCGAACCGCAGCACTCGATAAAAAAGGCGGGCCACAACCTTGAGTAGAGCATTGGAGCAGTAGATTATTTGTTGCACAGGTCGGGAGGGCTGAGACAGTTGTTTGAGAATTGCACTGAAAGGGCTACTATCTTGCAAAAAAGCGTTTGGATATTTGGGGGTTGATCGAACGGTCCTCTACGTGGGGTGATCATTGGGGAAACCAGCAAAAAAGATGACTTTCACGACTCAATGGGACAAGTTATCCCATGGTCATTTGGGCCAGGCATATTGCTCAACCCCCATTTTTGTTTTGTGCAGCCATCAAAGTGATGAATGCTGCACGGCCACCTCAGGAGAGCACCACCGCGCAAGGGCCTTGGTATGACACGATTCCTTGCGGCCGGAACTCCAGAGGCGAATGGCTCGTGGTGAGAAGCTGCGTGATTTTAGTGTGGGGGTTTGGGAATGGCGTTGCAAGATGAAAGACCAGTGGTTGCGAGACTCCTAAATTGGCACTGGGCCACATGCAGCTCTCAACCAGGCAGTTTGATCTGCAATACTCTTTATAAAGAAAACCTTTTAAGGTTATATGGCTGTGGGTCAAAGCCAATGGTACCATTTTGGGGTAGGTGCCACCCATTTTAGTGGAAGCGACGCTACAGCGCCTCAGGTCCTCCTTGCTGTTGGGCGTTAGCTTCGGCTACGCCGCCGCCGCCGTGGGCGCCGCCGCGCGCCAGGCCGGCTGGGCGATTTGGGCTGCGGACTGTGGGCGGCTGGAGGGGTCGAATCTCGGGCGCAGAGGATTCTGCGCTTTGGTTGTTTTTGCAGGCTGAATCTTTGAACAATCTGCACGCTTTGGCATTTTTGCAGGCTTAATCTTTGAAAGACAATGGAAGGGAGACTTAGTAGCAGGACAGATTCAGCACCAACGCACGGATTGGTGCGAATTGCAAGGCCATTCCTTTATGAGTTTGGCAAAGAGAATCAAGTTTCGCCCCTGTGACGTGGCATTTCTTCAGCAGCTTTTATTGACAATGAGCAGTGCCCTGTCCTGCCAGGGGCGAGTGGCCAGGAGGGCCGAGAAGGCATCTGTGGCCAGGAGTGTGACGGGGCATATGAGCGCAGTGTTGAGACAGCGCCGGCTGTGGGTCAAAAATAGGTACCCAAAACGGAGCTCTGGTAAATGGAAACATGGACTTCAACCTGCAGTCCCATTGTGGTTTCATTTTGACCCCTGCCCAGTCATCAACTATGAGTTGCTCTTCTGTTGGCACGTCTGCCTCGATCACGCTGCGCTGACCTTGATGGGTTGCGCGTCGCGCATGAGGGCAGACGCTGGCTTTCTTCGCTGCTTGTGATTCAATTTTTGCAAGTTTGCCAGATGTATGGATTTGGTAGGCTCAAGAAGTTGCTGCAGCAAGCATGACTATCGCCACGCCAGGGAAGCGCTAGAGTCGGAGACCTGCTTTGCCGTTCTTGGCCGGGAAGCAGCATTTCGCTTCCAGAGAGTCTTTGACCTGGCTGTTGGGGTTGGCATCCAGGATTTGTTCACATATCGTTGGTCCTAGACATGGAGGTTGACAGCAGGAGCTCCCCATGGAGCTTGCTTGCTCCACTTTTTCAATCAAGTTTCGTCTTTCAATCAAGATCAACATCGCCCCAGGGAGAAAAAAGAGGCGGGACACAGCAAATCAGTAAAGGAGCAAGGACAAGGAGGCGACCGAAATTCTTGCCTGACAAGCAAATTGCAAAGAGCGTGAAACGGATATACCGAATCACAGAGGATTTTACGTGCTCATGGTCTCCTTGAATCTGCCAAAAACTGCTACGAGAAGACTCCCTGGTACGATGTCACTGTGAGGGTCACACCTTGTTGGTGTCTATGTATATATATATAATATATATATATATATATGTATATATATATATATGGGCATGAATTTTCACGGTGGATATCATTTAGGCTGGGATTCATATGTCCAACCGCCACTTTTCAGGGGGCTCCCCCTCAAAATTCATTTTCCACACAGCCACATAGGCTGGGACTCATATGTCCACCTCAAAATTTGAGGTTGGAGCTTCCCTCTTAAAATGCACAGCCACAGGACTCCAGTGGCCTATCCCATCTTCACCTTCCGGTGGCTGGCCGTCCATGCGCTCGTGGCGCCGAGCCTGGGTGTCCTTTTGGGCCTGAAGGGAAGGTGTGAGATGAGAGGCCACGACCCTTCAGGGCCCTTGATGTTAGTCTCCCTTCACTCGCATGAATTCCCGACCCTGATTTGGCTTTTGGGTTGGGGTTGGGAGGTGATTGAGGTTGTAGCCTCCCAATTAGCAGGGAACTCCTGAAGTTCGGAGGTCCCAGAAAAGGAACATGGTCCAAACCAGGACAATTCGAACGACAGGTTCCATGTTGGTTGGTGGGAGGGTATTTGAGATTCCAAGCGGGGTGTTTGGCGTGGCATACGCCCAAGATGGATACGCAACCAGTGGCATTTTCTCAGCGCTCCTCTTCTTGCATCAGAAAGCACATGTGCCATGGTCAACAGATTCCGTTTCTTCGGTTTGGTAGGATCGGTTTGGTAGGAGTGGTCATCAAGCTTTGGAACAGGGGTTTTACACTACTAATGTAAGGATTCAACATCAGGGAACCATGACCACACAAGGAGTTTTGATACACATGGTGCAACTTTCACCTTGGCCACTTGTGCGTCACCATGGCGATTCTCGATGTGCAGCATGCAGCGCCCATCTTCCCTTTGCTTTTCGGTTTTGGGGATGTTCGAGTACGGACACGGGCAAGACCAGTAGCTGCTGCTTACGTCGTTGCCTCCATTCCCACAGTGGCATTGCAGGGTGAAGGCTTTTGACACTCAGGTCCCCACTGTCTTCTTCCTTGGCGCGATCAGCTCCATGCAGTTCATCCAGCGTTAAGTGCGGCAGCGCTGGGGTATGAATTTTTGACCTCCGGGGCTTTTCTTCGACTGCACTTGCAGCCGCGTACACGCTGCATGTGGCATTTGCACCAAGCAATGGCATAGCTTCACAAGCCAAACATGCATGACAGCATATGACAGCAGCGAGTTCAAAGACCTTGCCAAGAGGCATGGTAGAGGTGATGGAGAGTGTGACCCCGTCGAAAATAATCCGCTGCGCAGGGGCGCTTTGCAATTGCTGAGTTTACCTCTACTTGAAGCTATCCGTGCAACATTCAAAGCGATGTGGGTCAGACTACTGGCAAGTGCCGCACAACTTCCCCTCCTGAAGTGCAATGGGGACCCGGGATAGACAGCCCTACAAGCCGCAACTCCTATTCCCCTTCATGTCCATCCACAGCAACATGCACAGTGGTAGCTTCCAATTTGAACATGCCTCAGCGAGGACGAAATGTCAGGCACACTGCCAATGTTTTCAAGGTAGTGAGTGTGAGAATGACCGGCCGGGCCGTTTTGGCTTTGAACAGACGCATGGCCTGAAGAGACCTAGGCACGAATTCTTCTCATTGAGCGATGCAGTACTCCAACTCAATCCGTGCTGAAAGCGGGAAGGACCTCGGACAGGAATGGTGACCCCGGACATGCGGTCGCATTGAGATAGACATGCTGGTTTTGGCTGGACGCAAGTCAGCCTCAGTGTATATAATACGCATTTTGTGGCCTAGAATTGCCCCGTGCACGACATTGTTTTGCCAACTGCTTCGGCAGCCTATCCTGGACACAACATACCTGTCAGCAGCAAGAGGCTCAGAAATCATAGCAGCCTCGGCCTTTGCTCGGACAATGAATGGTTTACCAGGGCGGAGGTGGGACATCAGTGTCCCTGATGGCCTCTTGACTGGCAGACTGGAGTTGGGCACATTCTCGTGTTTTTTCGCTAAGCAAACTGAAGTTGAGATGGGGCAGGGTGGGCTTTGATCGATTCGAAAAAAGTATTGGCCATTTGTTGTTGGCAGTGTTTTCCAGCGCCCACTTTGACGCTGAGTTTTGCTTCGGCTTCCATAAAACACAGGTCGTACTCAGGCGCAAGGCCTGATGGGACGCCAAATTCGACTGGGATCACGTGGATCGTTGTAGACCACGCTGTCAAAAGTTACCCCTTAATTGGTGGTTTGGATTGGTGGTTTAGGGATTTGAACTGGTTCTTGTGGAGGGTTTACCCCTCCTTTTCACCACCAAACCACCGGGCTCTGGCTCCAAACCGCCGACCCAATCAGAAAAAAGCTGATGTTGATTTCTTTCGTTTGATGTTTCTTTGTGTGTTGTGTTTCCCTGTTCCATCATCTTCGGGGGCTCCAGACCACCAAGTAGAGGGAAGCTGATATGCTTGATTTTCCCGTTCTTTTTCTTCTTTTTTCTTCTTCAGGGAATAGGGTAATTGGGTGTGGCTCAAAATTAACCAGGAGGGGCAAACCGCAAGTTCTGGTCCACGTTTCCAATTACCGGGGTTCCATTTTGGTACCGGTTTTTTGAGCCACAGCCAAATAAAAACGCCCAATCCAACTCATCAATCCAAACCACCCAGCCAGAGGGAACATTCTCACGAGAGACTCGCTCAGGCAAGCGCCATGCGAGGGAGGGGCTCCAAAGTCGACGCCGTCTTTCAGGCCCGCAGCGAAAACTGGCTGGCGATAAGAATTTTATCTTTGGAGAGTGGGTCGGATCTGGAGCGCGGGACCTGGGGTTTTGAAACCAATGGAAAAATGTGATTTGTCTTACATAAGAGTTTAAATGGGAGCTCCTTTCCACATATGTGCTTAATTAAGATCCAACCATTGATCTTTGTTCCAACAAATCCAAAACTCAATCTTAAAATCGAGTTGAAGGACTTCCTTTCCACAGGAGTTTGAACATTTGAGCGGACGTTTGAAAGGACACAGTTCAAGTAGCGTGTTTCCATCTTAGAGTAAATGCAGTTGGACTAGATATTAAACATGGACTTCAGAAAAGAAAGAACGTCTGGTTGTTTCCTTTTGATTGGCCTGCCCCTAATAAACAAGACATACTAAAAAAAACATGCAGTTTCAGTTTAACCAACATTAAGATAAAAGCAAACTAATTCAACTATTGCAATTATTTCCTCATTTAAGTATATGTAAGCACAGGTTACGTTTTAGCCAAACTCGTATTTGCAACGGTTTTCATGTTACAGCTCGGAGTTACGATAGACATTCCAGTTGATCAATTTCCTTATGCTTGATGTTGTTTTTTCAGTGGGAAAAAAACACAAACAAACAGACAAAAAAGAAAAGAACAGCATGGCAGACCCTATAGCTCCAGATCCTGAGCTGTGCCCATGTGGGTTCTCTTTGTTTTAGAAACAATGAGAGGTTTTTCGCACTGTTCGAGTCATACGCAAAGAACCAGGAGGTTTACCACACGCGCAAAAGGCAGACCCATTCATGGGGGCACAGCTCAGGATCTGGTGCCATGGGCGTTTTTGCGTTTTGGTTTCAGTTCTTGGAGAACGCGCGGTTTGCCACGGGTCTGCACATGTGTTTTAGTTTGTTTTTTCCTGAGAACTCAAGGGTTGTGTGGTTTTATTTATAAAAGAAAAAACACACACACACACACACACTGGCCTAGTTCGGTGGTTTTGAGAATGCAGGCACCACGACGATCCTTCTATAGTTTTGTGGGAGGGATGCTGCTATGGTTCAAACTTTCATAATTACAGAATTCCACGCTATTTCAGCCATGCAATTGCAGTGGCGTTTATCGCTTACTTACAAACAAATTCTGAAGGCTGCTCGCAACATCTTCGAAGGTCAGCTTTGTATGAGTAAGCCATAGATGCTTTGGGCCATTTGCGCTCAGCCTGTCTTTGTTTGGTTTTGGGCGTCCATCAGGGACTCCTTAATTGGTGGTTTAGATTTGGATTTGAACCCTTGGTGTTTGTAGACGGTAAATGGAGTTTCCCCTCCCTAACCACCAAAACTACCGATTCGGCTCCTTTGAGCCCTTGGTGTTTGTAGAGGGGAAATGGGGCTCCCCCTCCTTAACCGTACCAAAACCACCGATTCGGCTCCTTTGAATCCTTTGAATCCTTGGTGTTTATAGAGGGGAAATGGGGTTTCCCCTCCTTAACCGTACCAACCACCGACTCGGCTCCGTTGAGCCCTTGGTGTTTGTAGAGGGTAAATGGGGTTTCCCCTCCATAACCAAAAAACAACCGATTCGGCTCCTTTGAGCCTTTGGTGTTTGTAGAGGGGAAATGGGGTTCCTTTGAGCCCTTGGTGTTTGTAGAGGGTAAATGGGGTTTCCCCTCCCTAACCACCAAAACCACCGATTCGGCTCCTTTGAGCCCTTGGTGTTTGTAGAGGGGAAATGGGGTTTCCCCTCCCTAACCACCAAAACCACAGATTCGGCTCCTTTGAGCCCTTGGTGTCCCCTCCCTAACCACCAAAACCACCGATGCAACTCCTTTGAGCCCTTGGTGTTTGTAGAAGGTAAATGGGGTTTCCCCTCCCTAACCGCACCAAAACTACCGATTCGGCTCCGTTGAACCCTTGGTGTTTGTAGAGGGGAAAGAGGGGAAATGGGGTTTCCCCTCCTTAACCGTACCAAAACCACCGACTCGGCTCCTTTGAACCCTTGGTGTTTATAGAGGGGAAATGGGGTTTCCCCTCCTTAACCGTACCAAAACCACCGACTCGGCTCCTTTGAACCCTTGGTGTTTATAGAGGGGAAATGGGGTTTCCCCTCCTCAACCGTACCAAAACCACCGACTCGGCTCCTTTGAACCCTTGGTGTTTGTAGAGGGGAAATGGGGTTTCCCCTCCTAAACCGCACCAAAACCACCGACTCGGCTCCTTTGAACCCTTGGTGTTTGTAGAGGGGAAATGGGGTTTCCCCTCCTAAACCGCACCAAAACCACCGACTCGGCTCCTTTGAACCCTTGGTGTTTGTAGAGGGGAAATGGGGTTTCCCCTCCTAAACCGCACCAAAACCACCGACTCGGCTCCTTTGAACCCTTGGTGTTTGTAGAGGGGAAATGGGGTTTCCCCTCCTAAACCGCACCAAAACCACCGACTCGGCTCCTTTGAACCCTTGGTGTTTGTAGAGGGGAAATGGGGTTTCCCCTCCTAAACCGCACCAAAACCACCGACTCGGCTCCTTTGAACCCTTGGTGTTTGTAGAGGGGAAATGGGGTTTCCCCTCCTAAACCGCACCAAAACCACCGACTCGGCTCCTTTGAACCCTTGGTGTTTGTAGAGGGGAAATGGGGTTTCCCCTCCTAAAACGCACCAAAACCACCAAAACCGGCTCCAAGAACCACAGGAAACTTTTGGAGGGAAGCCTGCGATCCAGGAGCTGCTTCTGGCGCAGCCCGGCGGCGCGGATGCGGCGCTGGCGCGGCTGGGACCGCTGCCAGTGCGGGGCTCCACCCGGCTGCTGAGCCGCCTCGCCAAGGTGAGGCGCCCGGAGTTGGCCGAGAAGGCGCCCGAGTCGGGAGATGCTCTCTTGCGCGGGGCGCGTGGAGCGTCGGGCGAATAGGTACCCAAAATGGGTTGCCCTGGTAAACATGGACTAAAGCCTGCGATCCTTGGCCAAAACTGGTATGTTGAGGTCTCCTGTTATGATGAAGAGGTTGCCTCCCATATCCTGGTGGTTTAGTTTATAGGTGTCCTGGAATGCAAGATGTGGCTTCCAACAACTTGGGCATGCCCCTCGAAGGCACCAACCATGGAAGTAGCTGAAGCTGCTTTGGGAGATGAGCGACGGTGGCGCATCCCATGTCTCTTGTGTCAGTGAGAGCTGACTGCTGAGGCCAGCGAGTTGTAGCATTCAGTGGTCCCCATTAGGACTCTGTACTCCATTTTGTTGCCTCCCTCTCGATTGATTGCCCTAGCGGGAGCGGCATCGAGTCGTTTCGTTTAGTTTTCGACTCGTTTCGGTCCTAGCTTTTCCTCGGTTTGATCCTAGTTAAGTTCTTCGGTCGTTCTAGGCCAGCCTGGGAAACGCGATTAATTGATTGAATTGCTTGGTTGGTTGACTCTCTGACTAGATTGATTGCTTTGGTTGGTTTGATCGCTCCGATTTGGCAGGTCGCGCGACTTTGACCAAAATGAGCGACCGCAGTTTGCCAGGTTGAGTAACTACCACCAAATCAGCGAAAACTAGGACCAAATGATTTAGAAGCTACAGGGGGCGGGCCGAACCCGTCCAACATGGCTCAAACACTGACTAGGACCAACACAGGCAGGCTACCTGGACGCCTGGCCTGGGCTTGTTCCTTGCCCCAGCCGAAGCTTCACATGCTCTTCGGATCGCTTGGATCGATTTGGCAAAACCTGGTTTGGCAATAGGGGATGTCCCCTTTCAGTGGGGATTCATCACCGCATGGGAACAGGCCCCAACCAAAAAACCCACCCAGAGCCTTGCCCCCTAGCTTTCAGCTGGGAGAACACCTGGTAGGTGCTGCGGTGGATGCTGAGCTCGTCTGCCGAGACCAACTGCTTCCACTTCAACGCGATGCTGGATGCCCACGCCCGGTCCGGGGAGTGGCAAAGGGCCCTAGCTCTACTGGAAGAGATGCTCTCGCACCAGGTGCCCAAACGAGGGGACGGATTGCAACAGGGAACAGGTGCCCTCCCGCCGGCTAGCATGGGACCTGCCAGGGGTCCTGGTTTGGACCATGTTCCTTTTAAAGGGACCGGGTCCCGAACCTCAGGTTCCATGTGAAAAGGGTGGGGTATCAGCAATGGGGCAAACAAGTATCGGTCGGTTTGATTTGGAGCTGCGGGAGTTGGAGAACTAGTTCCATTCCCATGACCTTTACTCCTTTGCAAGTGTTGCTTGGTGTGATCCGCGGCTACAAAGGCGCCGAATGGCTTCTCAGGCATTGACCTTGAAAAAGCATCCTGAATAAGAGAGCGCCTTATATAGTAGAAAAAACACTTAAGCCTAGACGTTTGAATGATGCGGCCGCACGACCAGCAAGCGTTATCGTGATTCTTGCTTGATTCTGGGTCCAGCTGCGACAGAGTCAGCAGATGCGAGCCAGGGCACATGCTCATGACATGGTTGGTCGGTTCTTGGGCATTGATTCATCTTTCCCGCCCAAGGATGACGCAAAATTGAGCTCATTTCGCAAAACTCTTCGCAAATGGGGGTGACCAGGCCCAAAATGATCATGGGTAGCTTCTCCCATTTATTGGCGAAAGTCAATCAATTTTTTTGTGTGTTGTCCCTGATGGTCATCCCGTCCGTGTACTTCGGACCTTTTGATCAACTCCCAAATCTCATCGCTTGACCCGTGGCCCCTCTGGGAGGTTCAGCTGCAGTCGGTGAGTCTGGGCTGTGCCATCGCCGCGTGTGAGAAGGGCCTCCAGTGGCAGAGGGGGATCCTTGGGCTGTCAGCGACCCTTAAAGGGAGGGCCAATTTTTGGATGGCAACCGGAAAAAAGAGAGTCCTGTCAACTTTCTGGAAACACTTGCAATCCTTGGGCACGGCCGCAAGGCTTCGTAGCCTTTGTAGAGCTCGAGTTGCCAGCCGCGTTCTTGAGAGCAGCGCAGCGTTTCGCTTCTTTTCGCCTTTTGCCCCCCGGAATCCCCGTTTCGAGCTGCGGCTTGGTCAAAAAAATCTCGCATGTGAAGCTCATGTCACGGCTGAGGATGGCTCTGCTGATGATGATGAGCGACACTAGACCCTGAAGCTAAATATCGCAGGGGAGGCCAGCAGGCTGGCCCAAGCAGGCGGAGGACTATGAGGTGAAGAATGGTTGATTTTTTTTGCTTAAACATAAAAGAGAGTCTGATGTGTTTTTGGGAGCAGGATGCTGGGCATAGTACAACATGATATCATTTTGTCTCACAGCGTAGAAATTCCAGGCTACGAAGGGCCCAACCGGCTGGGTTTTCTGCATCAGCCAAGTAGCCCAAGCGCACAAGAGGCAGAATGCATGGTACGGAGCTTAGCTTTTGTAACATGACAGTTACTCCATCTCATGGAATCGCTGTGTGGCCTGCAATTTGGAGCATTCGTGGGACTTGCAGTGGCCCGAGGTGTAAATTCTCTCAGGCATGGTTAGGGAAACAAATCTGAGCTCATGTTGGCTTATGAGCGCTTGTGGGAACCTTTTGGTAATCACAAAAGCAACCTTTCGTAGCACAAGGCTTTCTCGGTCATTGACGCCACACAATCTCTTGGGACGAAGGCCATGCTCGTTTGAGTATTATTATTATTATTTTTATGTCCGGCATTTCAGTGTGTCGTTGTCATGTCGCGAGTCTTCGAGTCTCATTTTATGCCGTTTTGGTCTCATTTCAGTCTCATTTCAGCCAGCCATTTGAGTCTCATTTGAGTCATGTCCGTCATTTCAGGCATGTGAGTTTTTGCTCGAGTCTCCGAGTCTCATTTGCTGCCATGGTGGTCTCATTTCAGTCTCATTCCAGTCATTTGAGTCTCATTTCAGTCCTTTGGCGCGTCGAGGATCTGGCCCTGGAGAGCAACGTCATCGTCTTCAACGCAGCGGCCAGCGCCTGCGAGAAGGAGGGCCAGTGGCGCCAGGCGCTGCGGCTGGTGGAGCTCCTCAGCCTCCGCGGCCTCAGCCTCTCGCCGCAGAAAAATCGGCGCGGCGCGGCGCGGCGCGGGCCGGCGCGAAGGAAAGCGGAGACGCCGTGGTGAGTTACTTTAAAGGAAAACCACGTTTCGATGGGTGTGTTTTTCACACACGTCCATTTGGCAAAGGGGGGTATACAGCCCAAAGGAAGAAGGGCCGCTGGGTTTTGGGGGAATGAACCAGTTGTCAGGGTCATTCCATTTCTCATTCCCTGCTGAGAACCAGCAAGGCAGCGGAGCCGCTGGCCAAAAACGTCCTGGCCAGGAATAGGTGCGGATATCCGTCTTTTTGCTTTCCTTGGATTTGGGTAGACCATTTTAAATACCAGGTTTTGAGTATGACTCAGCTGAAGTTGAGGAAGTTGATCTGAATGGGGCTAAGGTTATAGGCAGCTGATCAATCATTCAGAATCACACAGCTGTCGGTTGAACAGAATGACATGTCCGAAGGGGTGCCAAAGAATTCAGTTGCAGAGACTACCTGACAGCACTCGACTCGGAAGCTTCGGTTGGTCAAGGCCCACCGGCAGTGGACACGAAGCTGCCACCAAATGAAATAAAATCCTAAGCTCCCTTCAAAGCTGGAAAGAGGGGCCTCAGCACTCCTGCGCAATCTTGTTGGCGTCCTGACCTCCTCTGTTTGAGACTGAGTCTGGCTGACGGGTGCTGCGCCATGCAGGGTATGCTTTTCTGTTTCCAACCAGCTTGTTGGCTTTCAACTTTTTGCGATTGTACAGGCCTTTGTGTGGGGTCAAGCAAATCCACGCAACTCGGAAAGGCCACAGCCGCGCAGCGAAGGTCCTGACATCATCACCATGAGCTCTGCCATCAGCGCCTGTGAGAAAGCCGGGGAGTGGCACACCGCGTTGCAGATCTTTGCGCAACTCGAGGATTTGACGATTCAGGTCGACACCATTGCCTGCAATGCTGCGGATGCCTCAGCGCTTAAACCACATTTTGGCACATGGCATTCCTGAAGTCCCAAACCACTGAATCACAGCCGAAAAAAACCGTCCTGAAGTCCAAAATCACCACCCAGCCGAAAAGTCGTTGCCAACTTTCCATGGGGAACCACTTGCCGGACCTGTGGCGGGGTTCAGGTCCTCAGCGCCTGCGAGAAGGGCGGGCAGTGGCAGCAGGCCGTGGCCATCTTGGAGCAGATGCTCCGCGGAGTTTCCGCGCCGGACATCATCTCTTGGAGCTTCCTGGCAGCCGAGCCCCGAGCGTCGAGCGTCGAGCCCTGAGCGGCGCCGAACGTGGGGGGGGGGGGAGAAGCTGAGGTCCGAAGTGAGGCTTGACAAAGTGGAGGCCCCGTTGATCATATGGGTGTGGCTCAAGATGAAAGAGCCAGGGTTATGATGTTCTGCAGGGTTTAGTCTTTGGTTCCTTTCTCCAAGCTGCCATTTGGGTACCAATTTTTGCGGCACAGCCATATTTGGCAGTGGTGCCAGAGCAGATTTCCGGCCGAGTGGCTGTTACATATGTGGCAGCTTTGCATTTCACCAAATCTTCAAGGTGCTTCGGATGGAATTTGAGGGAATGCCTGGGCCATGAACCGGCCATGAATGGGGTTCTCCGAGTTTGTGCCGTACTTACCGGTAAGTACGGCATTTCCTAAAACAAACCCTTTCTGCAATGTACTGCCGCAACCATTCAAATTTGGTAGCCTGGAACATGACTGCCCAGATCTTTCAGTTGCACTCTCAGCATTTGACCAGAGGCTCAGCCATTTCAGCCTGCGAGCGCAGCGGGCTTTGGCAGCTTGGCCGATTTGAAAGTCACCTCATCAAGCCTTGGCGGTTCCCAGGGTTTGGTGGGGGTTTACATTGAACCCACTAAAAGAACCTACTGATATCGTGTTGTTGGGAGATCTTGCCTGCGCCAAGTGGAAGTCAGAAGCAGAATGCGACTGCAGGGCCCTTTGGCGTTATGGATAGTGCAGACTCAGCGAGAGGCTCCGAATGGTTGTGGGGGGAGCCGTCGGAAGTGCGTGCGATGCGATTGACGTTGCTTTCGTCCCTGAGATCCACAACCGGCAGCGATTATTGTGAAATCAGACCTGACTCGGATGCTGAACGAGTCATGGCCTGATACCAGCGTGTCTTCACAGTGAGCCTTGGTTGTTTGATTGCAGTTGCGCAGGACCAAGCCAGCCAAAGTTGCAGCCAAGAGCGCAGCCCAAAGCAAAGGCTAGACCAAGCTCAACAAGCTCCAGCTCAAGCTCAAGCTCAGACACAGCTTGTTCTGGCAAACCCGTGACACTTCCCTGAGAGGAAACCGTGCGGGGTGTTGCGGGCACCAAGACGAATGCAGTTCTTGACGGCCAGCCCTTTGATCAGTTTTCGAGGAACTGCTTGGAATGTTTGCCCTTGCTCGAAAATGTTGCCCTTGCGGGAGACCCTGCCAGCTTGCAATGCCTTCGGTTTGCGAGTTGGTCTCATGCCAAGAGGTTTGGGCTCATTACCTGGTTTTTGTTTGTTTTTCAAAGGGAGGCCAACAGGCACACCTCATCTCTCAGGTACCGCCTTGAGTTGGTGGGTTGGATTGGCTGGGGATTTGGATTTGAACCCTGGGTTCTTGCAGAGGATAGCTGTGAACCCCCCCCCCCCCCCTACCAAACCACCAAAACACGGATTCGAACCACCAAACCACTCAGAGGGAAGCTGACGTTGGTGTGCTTCTTTTGATTTGTGTTCGTTTGTTTCTGTGTCATCTTTGTTTGTTTGTTTGTTTGTTTGTTTGTTTGTTTGTTTGTTTGTTTGATCTGTGTTTGTTTCTTTGTGCCTTGTGTCTCCCTGTGCTCTCCTCTCCCGGAACTTCCCACCTCCCAACAAACCCCGCGCCGCCGAAGCGACCGCCGAAGCCCGAGGACGGCGGCGCTGGAGCTGCTGGCGGCGCTGCAGCGGCACGGCCTGCGACTGGACACCGTGGCAGTGAGCGCGGCGCTGAGCGTCTGCCAGACGCTCGGAGGAAGTCGGAGCGTCTGAGCGTCGGGAGCTGCGGAGGTCGGGGAGGGGGGATGTACCTGGTGGATGGGGGGGGGGGTGGTGGATAGGGGGGGGGTCGTGTTGGGAAAAGTGGAAAAACGGGTTGGCAGGGGATGTTCTAAGGTTTGATTCCCCATTCGCTTCACCCATCGTTCTCTTTAGAGACCACATTTATTTTCCTGGTGCTTGGCCCATTTTGTTGAAGAGAAGGATCCCTGAAGAGAGAGGGGAGGGTGCCACTAGAGATGTACCCGGGGAATGGATGGGGGGGTTTTGGGTCACTGGAAAAACGGTTTGGCAAGCACATTGGCTTGCTGCGATAGGTAGGGACAGGGTAAACCCGTGAAGCAAGGAGGTCAGGGGATTTCTACGGCATGGGGGGGGCGGGGGGAGATTTTGGTCACTGGACACGGCTTGGCAAGGACGTGATTTCCGAGTAGCTCAGGGGATGAGATGGGGAATGGGGTGGTTGGAGTCACCTTCATGGAGGCAAACACGTGAATTTGCGGGGTCCAACATGGCTGAATCACAAAGCGATGGCCTTGCAGCGCTAAGTACGCAGATTTGGTCAGGTTCCGCTACTGGGACTCAGACGATAGTGCACTGTTTTGGCACCGCCGTTCTGAAATTTGCTCATGTAAGCTGCATCCCTGGCTGGTCCCTTGGGCAACTCCACAGGAAAATAACATGGCCACGCCCCGGGTCGTCAATAGCTGGCACGGCTGTTTTCTCAAGTCCAAGCTTATGTCAAGTAATGTCAAGTGCTGCTTTGGCTTCTTGATGTGGCGAGAGTCCCAAAAATGATGTTGCACGCTTGGTAGGTATTGACGTATTTGTGTTCACCTCTCGAGTAAGTCCTTTGATTCTCGTCTCCGAACAAGTGATCCCTTCGGGGTTCACTCCAGGATTTACGATCAGTGAGGGTTTCGGGTAGCATCGAGCCACCGCTTGGCTCCTTGCACGTTGTTTAGACATGAAAGTCACACAACCACCCCAATTCACCGTAGAAATATCCTGGGCCCTTGCTTAACTTGCTGGTTGTCAGCCGGGGATTGAGAGAATGGGCTTGGAGAGAGTGAGGCTGGGGTGATGCTAGATGGATGATAGATAGCGATGCAATGCAATGCCATACGCCGCCAATGCCATGTCTTGGTGTAATGAGAATATGCCGTTCCTGGCGCAAACACAAGAGATGATCAACTTAAGCTCGATTCAGTTGGCCAGTCTGGTCTTGGCATCCGAGTGCAGTCAGTGCACATGCTTTGGGCATCCTGAGGTCATCCTGATTGTCAATCTCAGCTGTTGGATCCTGCTTGCATGAACCTTTCTCTTGATGCCAGCTTCTCGGGTATCATATCTCAAGAATCATCATGCTCCTCTTGGCGGGATCATGTCTTGGTGGCTCCCAGCCATCCCCTTTTTAGTGGTAGTTTCCATTTAACCCACTAAAAGTTAGCCACTTTTCGCGGGGGATCAGAAATCGGGCAGCCCAGATTTCTCGGCGTCGAATGACTCAGGAAGGCCAGCCAGTGGACCAGAGCGGTCGAGCTCTTTTCCGAGATGCAGCGCAGACAGGCTGGGCTCCCGGGCTCCTGCCAACGCTCCTGCCAGTTCAGCTCGAGCTGTGCCCCGATATTGTCATATTTTCATGGAAAGCACGGGAACTTCTGAGAGAACTTCACTCCAAGAAGCTGACAGTTGCACAGAATGCTCGATCCATCGATAGATGGATATAAATACATGAATAAATAAATAAATAAATAAATAAATAAATAAATAAATAAATAAATAAATAAATAAATAACCAAATAAATAAATAGGTAAATAAATAAATAAATTAATGAATATATATATATATAGATAGATAAATCAATGAATCAATACATACATAAATTCTTATATATATATATATATATGAACAACTGTATATATATATATAGATACACATATATAGATACATATATATATATATATATATGTGCTACCCCCCTTGAAATACTCAGGTTTTTGGGCAGAACAGACGTTTTTGGCCAGGCTGGGGGTGACAAATGCCTTGAGACTCTGAAATGAACTGGACACTCAACTCCATGCAAATTCTAACCAAGCAGAAGTTAAGCTCAACGTGGATTAGGAGTTGCGAGTTGTGTGACCGTCACAGTGACGTGCGCGAAGTGCAGTTCAAGTCACATTGGAGTATGCAAAGTGCAATTTGGCAGCTCCAGCTCAAAAAACACAACTGTTCAATACAGGAGTAGTGCGCGAAGTATGTTTTGGCAGCTTCAAAGCGCCTGTAGCAGCCCTATTATTTGGTGTTTATTATTTTTGTTTGGCAGCGAAATTCAGCAAAACATCAACTCGGGGAACAGGAACTCATTCCTAATTCATGTCCTTGCGCAGTTGCATGTACATGTTAACTCGAGTGTTGTGCATAATTCCTGACATGCTAGCTCAGTCTATTTGAAACATATGTTGCAAAGCAACTGTCCCACGTGTGTGTGTGTGTGTTGCTTGTCTAAGTTGGTTCCATCATCGCCAATAACAACTATTGAAATTCAAGTAAGGGAAGAATATCCAGAAAAAAGATTGCGAGTTCAAACCAAATTCAAGTTTACTCGTTTGCAGTTTCTTCTGCATTTCAAAAAGCAACTGGAGAAGATAGCTATTGTTATGGCCAAAAGAATTTGGAACCAAACTCAATTTTGAAAGGGTTATTGTCCTTATCGAACTCAATGTGGTTTGAACCAAGCAAGAACTGAGCCAAGCCAATGACAGGAACGTGTTTTCAATCATAGATCCTATTCTTTGCATAAATGCTGTAAAACGCAGTGTTTTTCAGCACTTGCTCAGATCGTGTTGCCCTGGATCGAACATCGAATATACAAGAATCCACACACATAAGTTTAGAATATACTCAATCCTGGTCCCCCAATAACTTGACAGTTGTTCTAGGCTCATCAAGGTTTCGCCCCCTGCACTGAAGATTGAAGATCCACCAGATTTTCTATGTAAGAATCTTCCATCCTGGGCAGCCCTCAAGTCCACAAAAAAACTGTAAAGGTGTCAGCAACATTTTCCCCCTTGCCAATTGCAGGCAGTGCAAGTGCACATCCACATTTTGATTCTGACAACGTGCACTCCCGGTCTGCCTTTTGGATTCTTCAAATCCGCACTTAAGGCAATCCAGGATCTGGATGGAAGATTGAAGATTCGCTGACAACTCTTTCTGAAATTCTCCAAGTATGTACTTAGAGTAATCCAGGATGTGCTATCACGTGCTAGCACATCCTGGATTGAAGGTTGAAGATTGAAGATTCTCAGACCACTTGTTCTGGAAATCTTCAATCCATCCTGAGGACAACCTGGTATGTGCTAGCACGTGCTAGCACATCCTGGATTGCACTAAGTACCGATGCAAGAATTTAAGTTTAAAAAGGAGTGCAGTTTTTAGAGCCTCATTTTAGAAGCTGGAACGTGTGTTTTTAATGCATTTTTACAGCCAAACTGTCAATTTCTGGCCAACCATTTGAGTGTTCCAGGGGGGGTACAATATATATGTATACATTGGTATATATATATATATATTTACATGTGTATATATTCTCGTGCTAAGCGCAACGCTGAGCAAACACACCATGCCACCTGACGTGGATCTCGAATCCCCTGGCACGTCGCCGTCATTCGACGCCCTGCAGGTCCCCCGGAACACGGTGGCCTTCAATGTTCTGCTGGCGGCGCTGGAGGAACCCGGCAGGTGGCAGGAGCGTCCCTTTGTTGCCGTGGCACATGAGACCCGTGGGGTGTCCTTTTTATGTTCGGTTGGGTAGGTGTTTGGTTTTTAGGTTGGTTTGGTTTTTAGGTTTGGTTGGTTTGGCTTGGTTGGTTGGTTTGGCTTGTTAACAGTTCCATTTGCGGGGCACCATTGATGATTTCTTGTTTAAGAAAGGTCGCCCATGCATGAGATTTTTCCCCTAGCCGGAAGCTATAGGGGTTCAGGGGACATAATTATTTTTTCTTCGTGGATTTCCCAGCGCCAAGCAAAGGTGTCGAAAACAAAGGGAAGGTGGCACCCGAAACATTGCTGCACAAAGGGCGGGTGTTTCCCGAAAATTTGCTGCAAAATAAACAAGGGGAAGGTGTAGCCCGAACAATTGCTCCAAAGCTGGTTTGAACTTGTCAACAGGGCTTTGTGCGGACTGTAGAAGAACAACGGCAGAAGAAAGATGTTTGCACAGGCATTTTGAAGACTTTTCCGTGTGCGGGCTCAGACTACTTCTGTGTCGGTCCAGATTGAACCTCTATTTGAAGCAGGCCCCAGCTGCGCACCCCCCAAATCCTATTCCCTTCAAGGAATTTGGTCGCCCTGAAGCTGCCAAGCTGCCAGGAGGCTTTGCAGCTTCTAGACTCCATGGCGCAGAGCAGCATCGAGCTCCTCGGCTTTGAACGGTCAGCCACCCGTCCGTCGGCTGGCGGCTCGGACGACCGTCGTCCGAGGCGCTCCGCCATTAGCTTCAACTCCGCCGTGAGCGTCTGCAGCGCTGCGCGGCGTTGGCCGGGCCCTCAAGGGGTCTCAAGGGGTTGGAAGTGCAAGCTGCAGCAAGCTGCAGCAAGCTGCAGCAAGCTGGGCAAGAGTCGAGGCTCAGTTTGCGCTGGGTGGCAGCCAAGAACCACAAGCCTTGGCCTGCTGAGGTTGGAGACACTTTCGCTGCTTCAAGCCATGCAGGACCTCCGCATTGCCGAAACCTCAGTCGCCGGACGCGGCTCGCGCGGCTCGCTCGAGGGAGGGTCCCAAACCCGCTGGATTTCGAAGAGTCCGGCCCAATTCCAGATCAACTTTGGGGCTCTCACGCCAAATCAGCAAATCCAACGGGAAAGCGGAGGCTCCAGCCGGATGACCTAGTTGCAGATTCCGCTGGCTTAAGAAGGGCACAAAGACTGCCAGAGCCTGCAGCATTGGTACGTAAGTTGTATAGGTGTACATTTGCTGATATCTTTTTTTGTGGCACAACATCGGATAGATCTTGAAGTTGACTACTTGCCAGACTCATTGGAATGTCAATGTGGCAAGGGCGGATCCCTTCGAAGGAGCATCATTCCAACCCCTGCTGGCATGTTTACAGAGCATTTCTCTTGCAATGATCTGCGATTCCACCCGTTGTTGCCCCGCCGCATCACACCAATCTGAGCAGTCATTCCAATCCAGGGAGCCAAATGACTCGAATCACGAACGTCCATCAAAAGAGTCAGTCTCGCAAGGACCGTAAAGACTACCCATCCCGCCGTGCCAAGTGACTCCAACTTGCTGACCTGGTCAGCTAGGTCCTTTTTTTGGTGCCTTAAATTTTTTGGATGGCTTTCCTTGTTGGTTTCCCTTCAAAACCATGGAAAAAAGGGGGGGTATCCTGAAAAAAACCGACCCAGGCCCCCCATTCCCCCCCCCCCCCTCCCTGTCTTCTTCCCCCCCATTTCCCCCCCCAACCCTTCTTCCCCCCCACCCCCACTTTCCCCCTGCTTCCCCTCCCCCCCTTCCCCCCCCCCTCCTCCCTTTCCAGGCCGCCACGACCATCACCTGCTCCGCGGCCTTGCGGAGCCTGGCCAAGGCCTCGCAGGGCCACCAGGCGCTGCAGCTGCTGCGGCAGATGCAGGCGCCGCGTCCGGGGCGTGGGGCGTAGGGCGCGTGGGGTCAACGAAAAAAGCCGACCGCCGTGGGTGTTTTTTTTGGTTTGGCTTGGAAAGGTGGGCTTGGATTTTTTAGGGGGGTGGATGGAGAGCTGATTTTTGTCTTGGAGAATCGGGTTTGATTTTCAAGGCGTATATAGGTGGAGAGGAACTTCTTGGCTCGGAGAAGCGCCGGGTTTGCCAAAGCCGGAGCCGCAGGCGGGACCCTTCACACCAGGTCCCTTGATGTGTTTCATTAAGACGTGACGATTCTTGCTTGGTGCCTGGCAGTGTTCGCGGTCAGATCTCGTTTTGTGGCGGCGGCACCGTGTTTTTTTTTCTCCTTTTTGTTTTTTTTTGTTTCCTCTTCTTTTTTTCCCCTTTTTTTTCTGGGGATCGATCGGAGAGAAATCGACAGACTCTCAAGGATGGTCTCTCTTCCAGACCAGCCGGAAGGGCCAGAGATGAGAAAAAGGAGGAATACACTATCGTTTGCTGCTCGGTATTGCGTCGCATGTTGGAGCGTGACGCACTGCCTGGAAGTTTTGTTCGGTGTCACTTGCCCAGAGGTATGTTGGGCGCTGCAAGTCATGTGGCGCTCTGGCCGTCCTAAAATGCACCAGATGGCCAAGAGGTTTTTCCCGGGCTTCGGGGTTTGGATTCAACGAAGCATGTCCAGACGTGATGGCAGACGGAGATCATGCAGGTTTGGCAGCAGCAGATGGGTCTGAAACACAAAGACGAGGAGGGGTAGTGGCTGGATGAAGGCATCGCGCACCCCAAGAACGGAGATGGATCTGATTTCTGCCTTGATGCATATCAGTACATGCGGCCAGAGCACAATGTCGGATCGCAGATCCTGCCAGATGAATTTGGGCTTGTCGAGATTGTGTTTAGCCCCAAGACCCAGAAACGATGTTCTGTTTTGGGCCCTGGTAGAGATTTTTCTGCCTTGCAACACCCGGCTCCATAACTCCTGCAAAGTGCATTGCAGAAGTGGTGCTGCTTTTCCAGCGCCTGGGGAAATCTTGGAGGGGGCTGCGTCCGTCACGCCACGGGGCCCGCCCCATCCGCACTGGGCACGAGAGGTAGATAGATGGCTCCCTGCCTGTTGGGTGTGGGTCAAAATGAAACCACCAGGTTGGGTCCATGTTGCCACTTACCAGGGCAAGCCATTTTGGGGTTGCCCTGTTTTTGACCCACAGCCATGTACGAATTACTCATACTGCAGCAATTGCAAAGTGGGCTGAGGCCAGCCGTGAAATGGATGGGCGAAATCCTGCACCACTTGGAAACCATGGGTTTGCTATTTACAGGGGAATCATTCTAGGGTTTCTTAGATGGTGCAGGACGCCCATCCACAGTATTTGACCGCATGGGACATTTTTGCCCAGGCAGAGAAGAATGTGGAGGTCTTCCACACTGCGATAGAGGCTCCGGTTTCAGCTGGAAGAGGGTACTGTATTCACACCGCAAAGGCAAGTCATGTCACGGTCTTGCACTGATCAGGGTGAGGTTTCTGAGGTTTCGCCTTACGTAATCACGGCAATTGTTTGATCTCCAATAGGAATATGGGTCAAAATGAAACCACCAGGGGACCGCAGGTTTGAGTCCTTGGTTCCATTTACCAGGGTTTCATCTTGGGGTTACCCTATTTTTGACTACCACAGCCATCTCTCCTTCTGCCCGAGGCTTGCGAGGCCTGCGGCCTTGCAGACGATGCCATGGACGCTCTGGAGGCCGTGGCTGCCGCCGCGGTGGATGCCTGCGATGAAGCGACGCGGAGGCGATGCGCCGAGCCAAAATGGCCCCGACCAGAATTTCCGTGGCCGAGCAAAATGGCTGTGGGTCAAAACCAATGGTACCAATTTGGGGTAGGTGAATTCACCACCCATTTTAGAAACTATTTTAGTGGTTGGATTGGGATGTAACCACTGGGGGTAATTACTCGCTTTTGACCCATGGCCAGACCCAATGCCTTCCAAGATTGAAGCCTGTAGGTCTCTTGGCTCGCCACTGGAACCTTACCTTTAGGCAAGCCCAGCTGGTTGAAGCATAGACAAGCAATACAGCGGCGACCGCAACAGCATGGCAAGACTCTTTCAGCACAAGGGCCATGCAGCATCCCGTTTGGCACCCAACAAGACAGGGGATAGGTACAAAGAGGACGCCCCTGGCCTGTCTTTGGACCCTTCCGCCGATGTGGTGGCTGCTGCCTCACTTCCTGCACGGGGTCTTCTCTGGGGCCTGGGGCGCTGCTGGCGCTGCCGGCGCCGGCGCCGGCGCAGCGGCTGGGGGCGGCGGCGGAGCCGCAGCCGGGGTGCTGTCGTTGGTGACGCTGCCGGTGCCATGGCAGGAAAGAAGTGAAGCATGCCTCATGTGGTGGTGGCTCAAAAACATGCACCAAAATGGCGCCTTGGTAAATGGAACCAAAGACCATCACCTGCGTAACCCTGGCTCTTTTGAGAGCCACACCCAAGTGCAGCTTTCTGAAAGGCCAGTCTCCAGAAGTCACAGGATTTTGAGTACGTTGAGATGGTTAGAGAATGTCGAAAAGCTCACGGCGGAATCGTCTCGCTGCAAGCTAGCGCAAGGTTTGGATAGGGCTCTCCGTACGGCCCTTGGCTGACGGCGGCAACCCCTGCCCGCTGTGACCTTTCTTTTGTTTGGCTCTCTTAGGCAGCTCCCATCAATGCCTTTACCTGGATAGACTGTGATGGAGTGGAGCAGCTGCAGGCAATTGCAAAAGAAAAAAAAGCCAAGGATTCACATCACTGACTTTGACAGGGCACTTGAGAGAACCTTCGACCCTTTCAATACTTTGACATTCGCACATGATTCAGGAGCAAACGGGGCGCCGTCTGTTCCGGAAGCCCAAGCGCCTGTTCTGCCGCTGGGTGCGCCCACATGCCTTTTGTTAGGAGATGCACAGTACGATCATGCGGACTCTGGCTCATTTCAGCCCACCGGGGTATGTGGTTATGGTTCAAAACCAATGGTGCCAATTTGGAATAGGTGAATTCACTACCCATTTTAGTCTATTTTTAGTGGGGGTTGGGATGTAACCACTGGGGGCTAACCGATTTGGGTTTTGACCCATGACCATGATTCTCGGGACCCACCGCTCTTGGCCTTTTTGGCGGCCGAGGTGCCAGTCTTGGCCGCGGTCACCGCAGCTCTGGTGCTCCCTGGCCTGTACTACCTCATGCGCTCGGACCCTTTCGCCACCCCCCAGCACGTGCCGGACGACCCGGAGTACCCGCAGCCCGAGTGGCTGCAGGTCCAGGGGCAGCGCCTTGGCACGGGAGGATGCACCATCTTGTCTACTGGTGGTGCTCCAGTCTTTTTTTCTTTGGCTTAACGATAACTATTTTATTATTGTTCTTCTTTTTTTTGGATTGGCGCAATGGGCGCAGTGCATGTTTCCGGTTTGCTTTCGTGCTTAACTTGCCGCCTCGCGAGTGTCGAAGCTCTGCGACTCGCCACTCGCAACTGCTTCGAGTCGACAAACACACGCTAGCTTCAGACACGCCGATTTGCAATGTACTTCATGGACAGTGAATCACCTGGGGACAGTCCCCTCACGCCGCTTAGGAAGTTAACACTCTGAAAGACACTAGCAACCAGGGCTAAACAATGCCTTAAAACGACAAGAGATTCAGAAGCGCGGGACGCCAAACGAAAAAGCACAGTTTGTGAGCCAAAAGACCCACCTCCGGTCATTTTGCATGAGGTAGGATGAGCTTCGATGTAGTAGCGGGCGGCAAGCACAGTCACTGTGTTCCTGTGGAATATCAGGATTCTGACCTCTCCACAAAGCCAGCATGGATTCCTTTGCGAGCCTCAGGCTATATCGCCTTGCTGATCCCTTTGGGCTCAACCTCTTGTGACAAAAGGGACCTACATGCTAAAAAAGCGAACCCCGCTTAGCCCAGTTTGTTGGTCATTTGGCGTGCGATTTGGGTATGGGTCAAAATTGAACCACCAGGATATGGACCGCAGGTTTTGGTCTATGTTTCCCTTTACCAGGGCAAGCCATTTGGGTACCTTTTTTTGACCCGCAGCCATTTGGCGTGCGATTGGGCGGCCCGGTGCGTGGAGGGTTCGGTTGCGCCAGGTTCAACTTCGCCATCATCGGCAAGTCCGGCGCTGGCAAGTCCACCTTCATGAATGCCTTCCGCGGCCTGAGGGACGCTGACCCGGGCGCGGCCAAGACGGGACGCAAGGAAACCACGCATCATCCAACGCCCTTCACCATTCCGGAGGAGCTCATGAAGGAATGCCCTGACGCCTGGAAAGCAAGAAGGCCCTGATTTGCAGAAGGTTTTCTGGCTTCAGGTGGCAAACTTAAAACTGTTCAAAGTTTCCCTGGCTGAACCACAGCCCCTATATCACACAAGTGCAAAGATTGAAGACTTCAAGCCTACACTCTTGAAAAAAATCCCACTTTTCAAGAGTGCAATTTTGCTTGGCTGCTTAATGGCCGATGTTCTTTTATCTATGGCTGTGGGTTGGTGGCTGGCGGATGTTCCCTACATGGCATGCTAGGAAGTGGTTCGAGACAAGCTGCGGCGCATTGTTCTTTGGGACCTTCCGGGTGCCGGCACGCCATCGCATCCACAGGAATCCTACATCAAGGAGCGATTGTTTTTTTTTTCTCCTTTCTTTTGTTTCTCGTTTCGTTTCATCTTTTCTGTTGACACCGGATGAGTAGACCTCTGTTTGTTAACATGGGGGTGTTCCCCTGCAAAAGTGGCGAATCCAACCACTAAAACCAGAAATGGACACCCCTCCACATTAACAAGCAGGTGAGTTTTGTTGGCTAAAAAAAAAGGTCAATATTAGTTAGCAACGTAAATGAGAGGCAGGTTCATCTTTGCAACATGCATCAGTGAACTTTCCCGGCTGGCCATGCATTGCCCCCAAGTTCTCTTGGTGACGAAGCAATCGCCCTGGGCACAACCCATTCTCGCGGCGGACTTGTACATATCCCATTCCTGGTTTCAGAATTTTTCTTGTGTGACTTCTCGCCTAAAGACACATATATATATATACATACACATGACACACATATTATATATATATATATATTGTACATGTATAGACATGCATCATGAAATGCAGGACAAGGGCTTGCGCTACATGGATGGTGTGGTCATCATTCTGGACACTCGCTTCACCGAGATTGATGAGATGCTGGCAAAGGCGATGCGCAAGTTTCAGGTCCCCTTGTCCATTGTGAGACTCGCCTTGGTTTGGCAGAGTGGTTTCTTTTGTGATGCTGTGATATGACCAGTAGATGTGGGCACTGCTGCGAAGCAGCATGAATGGGGAGATGCAGTGACAGGCCAACCTGGCATTGTGATGAACGCAGTCCAACCGACATTTCATTTGTTGAATATTGAAATTTGAGACTTTCTCGCAAGCAGACCATGAGTAATGTTTGCCGTTCAGCCCTTCCCCCGGGCTTCCAAGCTCCGGGCGGCTGCGGCAAGCAAATCGATCTTGAACTCTGCTTGCCCCGCAAATCCATCTGCACACAAAAAACAGCTCAGCACGCGGCAGCTCGCCATGACAGGCTCTTTAGAGCCTGCAGTGATCAGTTTTCGCTAACCGCGAGTCCGTTCTTTTGGTTGTGATACACCGAGAATCCTTCACTGGTTCCTTAAGTTTTTTTTTTTGTGTGTGTGTGTGTGAATTTCACCACACCTGAGCTGTGCCTGGCAAGAACATAGCACGAGAGGACGCAGAAAGCAGAAAGCAGTTTGGAAGTTTCTGAATCCGGCAGTGTTTGAGGGCCGTTTTTTTGGGGGTCCAAGTTCAGGTAACCCGTAGTTGGTGGATGGGTGGTTTGGTGATTGAATCGCACCTGTGGTTCTTGTTTCAGCGTAGATGGGGTTTACCACCCCGCACTCACCGGGCATGGGAAGCCGGATGAATTCCCAGGAGGAACAAGATGGACACCGAGATCTTGAACGCCGCCAACGAGCTGGATGACGACCAAGGAGAGGAGGAGCGCTGCTCTCAGGTCACTCCAGGAGTGCTCGCGGAGCTTCGGGAGGACTTGGCCGCTTGGTGTGAGGTCACTCGAAGTGATTTGGGTAGGTTGTAGAATGGTTTGGACCCCTCAGAATGGGGTGTGTCGGTTTTTAGGGGACCCTCCCAAAAATGGTGGCTTCACTTTTGGTTTCCCTTTAAAACCCACCAAAGAAGGCGCCCTTTAAAATTATGAGCCACCCATGGTGGCACATTCCATTTGGTTTTCGGTTTCCCGAACCAACCAGAAAAGGGAACCGAGCCTTGAGAAAAAATACTCCGATCTGCCAACCTGCGCAACACGTGAGCATGGCTGGTTCGGAAGGTTCTACGTGAGTTACAAAGCATGACCAGCATCGCAGCCATTGCGGCTGAGAGGCCATCATCATTTTTGGATAGGTCTGAAGCAGCCTCTGATGTGCTCAGCTCACTGGGCGTGACGACGTTGGGTGATTTTGCTAACTTGGTCACGAAAGAAGCTGAGCTCATTGCATTCTAAGCAGGTTGTGTCCAGAGCATGGGCCATCGCCAGTGATGTGGGAGGCGGTCATGGAAAATAAACCATTGGCCACAGAAGGTTCTCTTGAGCCGGTCCAATTCCATCCAAGGTCGTGTGCTTGTCAAAGCACAGCCCCTGGCTCAGCCTAACCGCTTCTTGGGGTCCTTTTGAATTCCAGCCATGCCAAGGATGGGCGTGCTATATGTTGATCTTAAAGATGGCGCTAAAACGTTGAAGATGTGTTGGTGAAAGGGAGCTACCTGCGAAACTCCTCGCACGGACATTGTGGAAGGGGTGGTGAGGCACCGCTGCTGGCGCGCTGCTACCGTGACGAGACCGCTGAGATCGCATCGCACAGTGTCTTGTGAGAACCGTGCCACTGCGCGCGGCCCCCCTTTGTGCTCCTTGCCCCCTGTAGTCTTGCACACCGACGCCAGCGCAGCCCCGCGCTTGACGACGACCAAGCAGTTTGTTCTGCCTACGTCCAACATTCAAGGGGCAAAATGCGCACCTGCCTTGCGCGTGCAACGAGTCCCCTCACCTCACAACCCCAACGATGAGGGAAGTAGAGCAAGTGTGCATGTTGAGTGGACTAAAAAATCACCGTTGGCATCAGCTTCCTGTTTGCCACGGCGCCGCCTTTCCACGCAAAGCTGGGGCTACCGTTTCTTAGCACGATAGAGAAAGGATGTCAAGGAGCGACGGATCGAAGGACGACGGACTCAACGGATTGCGCCGCTCTTGCGCGGAAAAGATTGCGAGTGCTGAGCAGATTGCTGTCCTATGCTCGAAGAGTGCTTTGTTTGGGTATTTTAATGGTGCTGCCACGTCAATGCCACTGCGTGGTGCTTTCATACCTCCTTGAGGTCTCTTGTTTTCCTCTACGCGTTTTGGGATCTCCCAAGTTCACTGTGAACATTTTTGCTTGTTGTTGCTGTTTGTTCTTCATCGTATATGAGGATGGACATTTCTCCTTGCACACGACGGATATGTCGTGCTTCCATTCTGCTACTGCTTTTTGTGTGGGATGCTTGCAAAATGCACGGCAGTAAGTGGAAACCCTGATGCCACGAACTGAGGAGACCCAAGCTGGGGATTTGCGGAAGCTGGGCTGCATCTTCCTGATCTCAGCAGGACAGCGGAGGTTGAAGGCCAGAAGGCCATGAGGTCAATGTGTGAGTCTTGACACACCCGCGTCCAGTAAAAGAACCGGTTTGCTTCGAAGCGAAGCTGCGCATCGGGCTGCTTGCCGATGCGGCTAGGAGCTGTGCTATCAAAGCGGCCAAAGGCTTGGCACAGCCCTCTGCTGCAGCAGTTCGGCAGTCTCAAGGAGATGGGAGCCAAAAGGTCTGGGATCCCAACGGGAGGCAATGTGGCTGATATGACACGTGACGAAAGAGGGCTTCCCTAGGTTTGGTCTGCGAGAATCTGTGCGTAGGTGAGCCCCACCTTTTCTTCACGTTGAGGAGAAGATGATGCGGGACATGTTCTATGCACGCATGGGAGGCTATCCCCGCTACTGGAGCCGAAGGCGCGCGCCCGAAGTCGGTAGCAGGAACCTTCGTCTTTTCTTTTTGTGGGGGCACCACGTTTTTTTCCCTCCCACCTTTTTCACGTGGAAACGGACGTTCGGGGGTCCCGATAAAAGGAAAAAATGGTCGAAGCTAGGAGCCCCGCCTGTCATGTGAATTGGTAGGAGGGTAAGCTGTATCAACCTGGCTCGTGCACAAGATGTAACATGTGCCGGTTTTTCTTGCTTCCAAGCCATTGTGGCTTGGCTTTGCAAGCTGCGAACGCTTTTTGGCCCAAACTTCAACGACAGAATCCAAACGCACATCTCTTGAGCCACGTACTCATTTTTGATGCCCCATAGGTCAGGCAGTGTAGGTATTCAGGTATGGTGCTTAGCGCTGGAGACGTGGCCCATCAGAGGAAGGAGGACGGACATGTTCACAATGTAGAGACCCGGTGCACAACCAAGAGCATAGAGGCGGCCTCTTTCATTCAGAACACACCTGCCAGCTGCACGTGTGGACCAGAACATAACGCCCCTGACATGCACTGGACGCCTGCCACGAGCTACAGGCAAGCCGCAAGCACTCGCACGAAGGTGACCCTGTGAATTGCTGATGCACCAATACACGTGCACGACTGCATTGCCGGGTTTCCATCAGCTTGTTTGATGCAAAGCTCGGATTTGCCACTGTGATATCTTGACAAAGCAGATAGGGTCTTCACATGTTTTTTGGTGATATTGGATGGATGGCTGGCGGGTCATTTGCGTGATAAATGAGGGGTACAGGAAGCTCATCACATTTGTTAGAACGACCGTCCTCTGGCCATTCGAGCTGCGTCCAGCTTTTGGAGCTACTGGAGGCCGGTGGATTTGGATCTGCGGCTGGTCCCGGTGGAGAACTCGGAGTGGGCGCAGGGCCTGGAGGCCTTGCTACGGGCCAGCGACTGCGGGAACTGCCTCGTCCTGCACGAGGCGAAGGTGAGGGAGGTGCATCGCATCGAGCACCCGCAGCTTTGGAAGAGGCGGGGGCCGTTTATTTTCTTCTTCTTTTTTCCTCTTTTCGTTTCGTTCTTTGTAGAGACACCTGGGGAGACCATCCAAATGGCTTGGATAGGGTTCCTGGTAGGCAGACTTCCACTTAGCTGGCGTTTCCTTTTGGCAATGCGGCCGGCGCAACACTTGCTGTGTGAGGTTCCACGACATGAAGGCGGACCTTCTGACGCGGCACGTGGGGCATCCGATCCTTGACTGCTATTGATCTTGAGACTTTCACTTTTTGGTTGAAATGACGTTGGATTTTCCACGAAACCCACAAACAGTTGTTCACTTCATGAAGCAAGCAAGTTTGAACAACTGTCTTGGCCACGCTCCCTTTCTCTCCTTCTCTCTGAAGATTAAGCTCACTGGAAATGTTCACTGCATTTCTCAGAAATGACCTGGGGTTTTCCACGAAACCCACCAAAAGGAGAGGGGTCGTTGAGGATCGAAGGCCTGGTGGACCAGGAGGTGTTGAGGAAGGCGGAGCTGAGCGAAGTGGATGAGGTGATGAACGAAGTCTGGGCCTTTCACGGAGCCTTTGCCGCATTTTGCCAAGGGAATCATCAGAAACCAGGGTTTCTGAGGTGCAAAATGGATTTCTTGGCGGGTTTTCCGCACTAAACCACTACAAGTTAGTCACTTTTAGCAGGGGAGCAGAAAGCAACCGAGGAACCACGGACTCTATGGTGGACTTTGTATCTGACTTAAGCGAGTCGACCTTTTCACCTTTTTTTTCCCATCTTGGCCCATTTTATTTTTTTCTCACTTGTGCAAAGCCGGTTTGTCCGGATTTTGGCCCATTTCTAGTCATGAACCCTTGATTTCCAGGTCCTTAAGGGGCAACTGAGGTATGGAAGGAAGGCTTCGATGCCAGACTCAGCCGCAAAGGCCTCTATGGCAAGGGAGCGTACTTTTCGCCGGATGCGTGCAAGGCGAATCAGTACACCTGCCCGGGCCTCATTTGGCGATGGTTTTTTTAATGGGGAAGTCCCCCGAAAAGTGGTTGATGAATATACATCCCCACCTAAATCTGGTCCACCAAAGGGTGCCTAATTAAGATTCATAGCCATTTGTCGAAGCACTTTGCCAAAACAAGTGGCGCGCCCATAGTGAATTGCATCATATATGAGATGTCGAAAGCATTTCATGTTTGAAATGGCACCTGGCTAAGAGTATGTTTTGTAGTATGAAAGATACTCTTAGCCACGAGCCATTTACATGCGAACACAATATGGCTGTGCGTGTAGGCTGCGCATTTGTACCATTCTGAACAACTCATTGTTGTAGGTTGGCTTTGGCTGCAACCGGCAGGAACCTAGAGCCGAGCACATGCATTTGGGCTGCTCATGATTGCATGCTTTGCCAAATCAGCATCGGCGGCTGGCATCATGACAGCTATCAAGAAACTTGGGATCATAATTCATCGGCTGCAAAGGACCTGTGTGCACTGATCAAGCAAGCGCTGTTGGTTTATTCTTCTATGACAGAGGCATTTGATACCTTGTCCGAAGCGACTCCACTGATGACGGCAAGCCTCGCACTTATCATATTGCGTAGCAAACGTGCCAGGACCGCCGTCTTCCTTGATGATCAGTCTGTGTCCGACGTGCGCTCAAGACACCAAGACCACTGTGGATTTTTTGAGCTGCATGGTTTGCCACTGTGCGTCTTCGGGAGAAGCGTTGCGGTCTAAAGCTCCGACCACATGCTCTTGGGCTTGGTGTTTGCTGAAGAGCGCATCACTGCGACCGCGAAGATCCTCGGGGTTGGCCTTGCAAAACGCAGACGGCAGGCTGACCGTCGCGCAGGTGCCCATGCCGCGGGAATCCCATGCGCTGGGAAGACCAGGGCCCAGATGGCCCAGATGGCCCATGCCCAAGGGTCAGGCTGCGCTGAGAGCAAATTTTTAGCACGGGCTCCTTTGATCCTGCAGCTTGCAGGCTGCGCCTTTGCCTCTGCACAGCACTGCCTACTTTGTTTGGTGATCTGCCTCAAAGATGTTTCATCTCTGGGGCTTTGTGTTGTTGCTCCAAAGAACGGCGGAGCTGAACACTTGGGACGCGTTTTCACCTGCTTTGCCGGCATGGCCGCGTCTGTTTTTTTTTGCCCTCGAACCTAGCACTGCCTTTCACCATCTTGTGCCGTTCTGTTGTTCCAGGGACCCATCTGCAATGCGACTGGCGCACCGTCTTGCGCTTGTTTGTTTGCCAGCGCCGTCGCCCAAGAAGACCGGATGGTCGGGGATGGCCATTGGCCGGGAGGGATGTGGGCTGTGCGGAGCTGGTCGGCAATGGTCGGGAATGGCACTCCCGACCATTTCTGACCTGGGCATTCCTTCTGAGGCAGTTGATGGCTTCCTACCTCGATGAAACACGTACACCCCTACACGGCCGACCGCTCCCAACTCGCGCTTCCCGACTTCCAACTCCCGGCTTTGAACTAGCAGAAGGAAGAGAGGGAGAAGGAGCATATGCGTACCATTCTGCGCAAACAGACACTCAGAGAGGAGAACCGCTGGAGGCATACATGCACTTCTTTATATATATATATATATGTATATATATATATATATTCTATAGGTATAATATACATATGTGTTTTATAGGGTCCCACTTGTTAGTGGTGTTAAAGGGACACTCGAAGGAACACCCCACCGTTTTTGGGGTTCCCTCAAAAACAAGAGACACTCATATATGCATGAAACAACATAATCTTAAATCAGGCGGACGTGACGGTCTGCATTACTCAGGTCAGGAGGAGCGTGACCGGCCTATGAAGGGGGACCCGTCGCGGCTGCGGCACCTTCTGCTGTGCCGGGTGGTCCTAGGGGAGCCATGTGACCCGGCAAGGAGTTGTTGCCGGATGCGCTTTGAGTGGGAAACACCTGGAGCTCAAAGGTTCCTCCGGGGTAAGCTTCCCTTTGCTTCGGTCGATGTCCTCGTTTCACAAATGTCTTCCCTTTGCTTCGGTCGATGTCCTCGGTTCCTCAATAAATGCATACATACCCTCCCTCAGCAGCAAAGAGGGCTTTGAGCTGTGCATTGCTTTCCACCAGACCGAGGCTACCCACAAGGCGACTTGAAGGCCGCCCTCCGGCCGCCCTGCAGGATGCTCTGCGAGAAGGCGATTTGCGACTCGGCGTGGGAAATGCCGAGGGTGCAGGCGTGGCGCCTCGGGCCGCGCCTTGAACCTGGTTGCCGCCCAAACGAAGCCTACTTTTTTCTGATCGGCTTGCGTTTTGGGTCGTGTTGAGCAGTGAGCTGATGGGCAAAGCGGGCGGGAACCACCGATTTGTTGTTCGGCTCTGGGTGGCACTTTGCATGGGTCGTTTTGAAAGAATATGGAACACTAGGACATGCAGACATTCCCCCCACAGCTAGCTGCTGAATTGAATGAGCACGGCCTGCTGTCTGGGGCTCAGCTGATGTTGAGCTCACCTTTTCCAGCTCAGGCGACCACTTCCGAACCGACTCCGTGGTGGCAGCGAAAGGTGTTGCCAACGCGGGGAGGCAACGGCATACCGAGTATGTCGTCTACGATGGCCGGCAAGTCTACCCAGAGTACCTCATCAAGTACACGCTCGCCTGAACATGCGGTGTGTAGCAGCGGTACAAGACCGCCCCAAATGAGCCGCTTCCTCAAAACCCGGGTAGATGAAGGTTAGTAAGGGACAATCCCAACCATAAATAGCTGCGGCCGCCTTCCTAATTCTTCACATGGTTCTGGGTAGACCATTTATACTACCGAGTTTTGACTATGACTCAAATGATCTTTCATGCTAGCTGGTGACCCATTGGGTTCTGGACATCAACTTGCTCCTGGAACTGATCTGCGTCCTGCAGCAATACACTTGCAGGGATGTACATAGAATTGCTTTTTCGGACCGCGCCGCATGTTCACATGGAAGCGAAGCTTCTGAGCCACTGTAGCGATGAAAGGGAGCCGAAAGGCTCTTGGGCCGCATGTTGACTCGCTTTCAGGTCGTATGTGAAAGGCCAAGGGGCGTCTGCAATGTTTCATGGCCTGTATAAATGGTTGATGGCATAGGGATGCGCAACCTGGCAGGTGCCTCCCAGACGTCAATGCTTGAAAATTCGCAGGTGGGTTCGCATGTGCCAGGCGAAGCACGCAAACGCCTGCCCATGACTCAGCCGGAACAAGGAATGTAGCTCAGCTGGTCATGTTCTCACTCGAAAGCATCGAGGTCCCAAACCCATATCTTCTGATCTGTTGACCTTACTTCTGCACAGCTACTATTCTTCGACTCTCTTGCTTCCTCTCTCTTGCTATTTCTCCCCTTGCTCTCCTTGCTCTCCTTGCAAAAACCTACAAACCTCCCAATTCTCGCAATGACACTTACTCCAAAAGCATCAGCCGTCCCGCTGAATGCGTTCATGGCAGACCTTGCGGTGACCACAAGCAGAACCAGTCCAGGGCACATTCGCCCGCCCACAGATGAAGCTGCGGCCGCGCTTCAAGGCGCACGAGCTGCAGGCGGGGCAACGCGAAGGTAAGGAGGGCGGGGCGACGGTGGTTTCAGATGGGGTTGGGCCTTGGACGAGCATCTTCAATACGAATGGCGTCGGACTGAAGCAACGAACGAATCTCTCAAAACAAAGACCTCGGTGGTTTCCGCATCCCATCAGGTCCTCGGACCTCAGCCGCGGCCGTTTTGGGCACGCTGGCGCCAGGCGTTTGTGGGGAAAGCGTTCGGACAGCTGGGCCTGCCGAGTGGCGATGCCAACTTGGTAGCACGGTGCCTGGTGGAGGCCGGGCGGGTCAAGCCTTTGTAAGGCTTTGGGGTGTGTCTTTTTTTCTTCAGTCCCAATTTGTGCAATGTCGGCAGTTTGTTAATTTGTCTCGCACCAAGTTGGTTCTACGCGAAGCCATGGAGTTCTTGGGTGGAGTTGTTCAATGTTGGTGCCACACTTCTTGTGCATAAATTAAGTACCTGTGTCGACTCTCTATGGTAGGGTCTTTGCTTTTGCTACGTGTAAACACATTGAGACTGCGCAGCCCATTCGCGGAGAACAGGTACTTCTATGCATTTGCACGGCAAGTTGTGGTGCTAGATTGGGTTGGGTTCACTCAATGCTTAGCTTGGATTCTTTGGGACTTGCTAGGCTTGTTTAATCCCCCCCAATCGAACCCGAGCAAACTGGAGCATGGCAGCGCTGCAGAACGGTTTTAGAACATGTGAGGCTGTTCTAGGAAACCAGAGCCCTCCTGCGTGTGCGTGTGCGCCCAAAAACTATGCTGTTTGCCGACCTCTCCAACTGAGCCTGGGCTGGCAGCTTTAATCGAAAAAAGACGTTGCTGTGAGTCTTAAGGGGGGGGCCTTTGCGGCGGCTGCGGGTCAAAACCAATGGTACCATTTTGGGGTCGGTGCACCACCCATCTTAGTACCTATTTTATTGAGGATTGGGATGTTCACTGGGGGGTAACCGGGCTTTTGACCCATGGCCACATTGGTCTCGTCTCTTACTCCGGTCGGTGTCCACGCAGGCAGACCTGCGTGGCCAAGCTGGCCACGGAATCCAGCGGCTGCCAATGCTCCTGGGATGCGAGTCAGTCTGTGGGGCGACCGTTTTGGGCACTGAAGCAACAGCTTCGGTGTGAACATGAGTGATATATGGGTGTGGCTCAAAATTAAACAGGAGGGGTTATGCAAGTTTTGGTGCATGTTTCCACTTACCAGGGTTCCATTTTGGTACCGTTTTTTGAGCCACAGCCATATTCCTGTCAATGTTCCTGGGCGTTTGGCCAGCTGATTAATAGTGTCGGGACCTACGCTCAGACTTAATTTGGTATTTCCAATCTAACATTTAGTTTTGTCCTGACTTTCGCTCAGGTTCCCAGTACTTAATTTAGTATTGCCATTTCTGGAATCTCGTATTGCCAAGACTTGATCTCAGATTCCCAATACTTAATTTAGTACCATGAAGGCATTTGACAAATTAACCATGCCGGGCTTGGGGCCATGTGCAAGCGTGGCAAGCTGTCGATCTAGGTATGCGGGCCGCATTCGGGCTGGTGTTGTCAAGCCGAGGCTGGGCTGCATAAGGAGATTTGTCCGCAGGTTACCCACCCCAACTTCGTTTTGTTATGAGATGCGGTTTTGCAGGGCAATGTATTGAATGACACGACGTGTTACGTGATGTCGGAACGAATGTATGAATCTGGCTGCAGCGACGCGTGCAACTATGGAATTGTGGGGCTATGCCAATAGAGTATAATGTTGACTGTCCTACCGCCGCTTGGGGAGGGTCAGCAACCAGGCGCGTACTGAAGTCAACATAGGAAGTTGAGCACCCGCCGGACCGTGGCAGCGCCTAGCGCCTAGCGAACGTTTCATGGAGCTAGCACGAGCGATGTCGAGCCCGCCTAGCGATCCTGCGCAGGCCCGAGATCCGTATTGAGCGAACTTCTCCGCCTGGGGCCCAAGGGTTCAAATGGTCAATGTTGACCTCATATCTTCCCCAGAATTAGTTTTATTGTTTTGCTTTTTGGGGTTCTCGTTGTTTTCCGCTACCCAGGCAGAAAAAACAGTTGCTGGGGTCCTAATTCCAGCCCATGCAGATATTAATCAACCCCAGTTACTTAATGGGGGGGTGCCTCCAACAGTGGTCTCATTCCCCACTAAGCCCAGAATTGGACACCCCAATATTGCTAAACCTGGGGCTGATTGATATGGGGTCCACATTACTCCCTGCGCAAGGCTTCAGCACGAACCTTTGGGTGCGCAGGTGTTGGGTGCCAGTGGTTCATATGAGTCATATGGGTGTGGGTCGAAATTCGGTCAACCCGCAACCCTGGTCAAGGGCAAGATGGACTAGAACCCCAGGTCTTTCTGGTGCGTTCATTTTGACCCATACCCACATTGCCTCTTTCAAAGGCGGCGCGTGCCACACGGCTTTCCGAGCGGCGCCGCTTTTTTTTGATGAGCCAACTTTCGAGCTAATGCCCCAAGGGAGTCCAGCCAACAGGTGAGAGAGCAGAGAGGGAAAGGCGAGAGAGCAGAACTTCGTGGAGCCGGCGGGCGCCTGGAGCGAATTTTTAAGCTGAATCTTTTGCCGTGGGATTCAACTCTGAGCGTGAAAAGCTGCTGGTGGGAATGAGCCGTTTTGGGATTCCAGGTGTATCAAACCGGTTCACACCCTCCAACTGCTTCCTGGACTCCATCTCCCCGTTTCCTTCTCATCTTGCTGGAAGGATTGGGATTCCTGAATCCGTTGGAGACCACCAGCGCCAGCCTGGAGGGGTTTTCTCTCGGGGTCCTCCGCTCCATCGCTCCATTTCGCAGGGCCCCGAGAGCAGGTCCTCGTGCAGCGTGCACGGCGACGACGGCATGGGGTTCGTGGTGGCCACCAGGGCCATGGACGAGGCTGGGGCGCTCGATGCAGCGGTGACTGAAGAATCGGTTGGAATGTTTTTTTTTGTTTTTCGTTTTTTTGATTTTCTTTTGGTAATTGTTACCCCAGCGCCATGACACATGCGGTCTTTGCTGTTGAGGCAGTTTGCCGGATGCAACGTGGCATGGCGCAATCTTGACTTGTCATTGAGACAATTTCGCACTGGGGTTCAGTTTTTTTTTCTTTTTTTTATTATATATATATACATATATATATATATATATTGTCTCTGTTACAGTCCCCTTGTTACGAGCCAACAGTCTGGGAGCCAACAGCTCCTTTTCATGCCCTCTGCAAAGACGCTGTTTCCTGCCAGGCGATCCAGATTGCCAGAGACCAAGGCGCTTCAGTGGGGGGGGGTGGGGCGAGTAGCAGAGCCCTCTCTTGAACCAAAAAAACAGCCGTCGAACAAGGGATCGAACAACAGGCTGCCCAATGAATTCCGAAGCAGTGCATGCGGGTGTGTCGCTTTTTAGGGGACTCTCCCCCCCCTTCTGCGGAAGAAACAGGGGATGATTTTCCTCCCCCCGCCCCTGCAGAAGCAACAGGGGATGTTTCCCCCCCCGCAGAAAAATAAAATAAAATAAGCTCAGGTGATATCCCCAGCATGCGATGCTCATAGCAGCCCTCGCAGAACCTGCCCTCGTGGAACCCTGGTGGAAATTCTTGTGGAACCTTATCTCAGGGCCCCGGACCACCCCAGAGCCTTGGGCTGAGACCCCAAAGCTTTCAGCTGTTGGGGGGGGGGGAAAAACGGGAAAAAGAAGGGGATGGTTTTCCTTTTTGTTTCCCCTTAAAAGAGCACCAAAGATGGGTTGCCCCCTAAAGAAATCCATCTTTTTGTTGCAGCTTGAGATTTGTTTGATATCACCGCCTGCCAGGAGTTGGCCTGGCCGGTGTTCGGCGATCCACGCATTTCGGCTGCTCCTCGCATTACGTCATGCAGGCGCCGCCACCGGGCATACAGGAAAGCTATCATGCACAAGGCTAGGCTCAGAAACATATTATATTTTATTCACCACAAATATACATAGCTAGGAAATATAGCTTTGTTTCCTTCTTTTTTTCTTCGGCTGAAAGCGCAGAGGCATTCCCCGCATGGCCAAGGTTTTGGGCTGGGTTTTCCGGGGTTGGTGTTGATCTTCAAGAACGCGCCAACTTGAATCGTCAGTTTTCAATACATCGGGAAACCGGCAACTGGAATCGTCAGTACTCAAGACATTTCGGAAAAAGCCCGGCTTTTTTTCTTCGCTGGAGCGCCACGTTTACCCACGTCACATAGATACATACATAGATACATACTGCAATTGATTCAACGGTATCTGCACATCGCCCTGCACAGTCTCCAACATTGTCTCCCACAAGATCTGCAATCACTGCAGGGGTAAGTCGTCAGTACAAAAAAAGAAGCATCGCGGAAAACGCCCGGCCTTTTCATTTTTTCTTCTTCCGCTGCTCCAGAAATCGTCAGTTCTCAGTTCCCAGCTCCACGACTTCTCGATGTCTCAGCTCCTTGCCATGGGCCAGGCCTTGGAAGCTGACATGCTGAGCTTCGCCGGCGCGCCAGGGAGAATCTTTTGATGTGGCCAGGAAATAAACAGCTGGTGGTCCACTTGGATGCCACGGCTGAGATGGGGTTGTCATCGTTTTTTTTTGGGGTTTGAGCGCAGCCCTGTTTGTGGCTTTCAAAGGGAATCAGAAAGGGACAAGCGCCCATTTTTGGAGGGGCGGATGGCCGCCTTCCAACAAACACAGGGCGAATCCCATAGATAGTTGGAAGTCCTCTTCGCCCCAATTCGGGGGTTGTGACAAACTACTTCTGCTGAAAGCGCGTTCCTTTCTGCACAAAGGTGCCATGTGGAGCCTCTCAGGTTTTCACCAACTCCTCCCCGGCGCTGCCACCTTTTGGAGGCTGGGGCGGGTAGATGAAGGCGAGTACATAAGGGGCAGTCCCAGCCAGAAATAGTTGCAGCCGCCTTCTTAATTCTTTACGTGGTTCTGGGTAGACCATTTTAATACCGGGTTTTGATTGTGACTCAAGTGGGAATAGGTGACATGGAGCTGCCGACAGCTGAAAAGACCAGTTTGATTGACATCTGCCAACCGGTGTTTGTTTTTGCTGCTGATTTCCCCAGTACAGTGCCGCTTTGCTTTGCATGGCCATAGTCATGCGACTGTCAGCTGTCAATATGACTGGTTGAAGCTTCAAGAGTGAGAGCGAAGTGATTCGAGCCAGCTCTGGTGCCGGGCTAGCGACTTTTGGGGGAGCAGCAGGATCCCACCATGCGTCTCAGGATGTGAGTTATTTCTTGGCACCTCTGATGTCAAGGACATGCTTCTGGTCCAAGACGAACATGCATGGCCCAATCAAATCAGATAGAAGGCGTCGGCGTTTTGCCTTGGCTGGCTTTGTTTGAGGACATGGGCTATGTTCCTTTGGCATATGGGCATGGGTCAAAATTTAACCACCAGGATATGTCCTATTTTTGACCCCAGCCATTTGAAGGTGAACAGGTACCTATTTTGGACCCACCAACCATCTTTTCCCACGCCATTTTTTCGAGTCGCCAACAAGCTCCCGCCTGGCGCCGTTTTTTTTTCTTCGGTCAGGTGCCAGGGCGCTGCTGGGTGCCAGTCCCTTTGCCGCCGGGGTGCCTGGCACGCAGCCTGTGGTGCTGGACATGTGCCACGGCCGAAAGCGTCGGCGAGAGGAAGCGCCGCTGCGAAGCAAACGAAAACGGGTGAAATGGGTCTCATTGTTCAGAATTGCTCCTTGCTCCCCCCCCACAAAAGGGGAAACGACCGCTTTTGGGAGACCCTGAAAAAAAGGGGACGCCCAACTCGGGCAGAGTGAGAATTGAACAGAAGCGGACGTCGCTTCAATGGAGCTCGGAAAAACCTTCCAATAATATTCTCAACAGGGGAGTACAGAATCTCACGGAATCAACCCAACAGGAGACGACTCGCGCACGAGAAGCGGCAAAAAAAACGTTGATGTGAAGTGAAGGCGCTATTATCTTGAAAGTGGTCACAACAAGCCTGCATGATGTACTTTAAACACAGAGATGCTAACACAAACACACAAACACACAAACACACAAACACACAAACACACAAACACACAAACACACAAACACACAAACACACAAACACACAAACACACAAACACACAAACACACAAACACACAAACACACAAACACACAAACACACAAACACACAAACACACAAACACACAAACACACAAACACACAAACACACAAATACACACACACACACACACACACACACACACAAACACACAAACACAAACAGACACGGACACACACACACACAAACACACACACACACAGACACGAACAAACACACAAGCACACACACACACAGACAAGCGCACAAACACACACACAAGCACACAACAAACCAACCACACCAACACACCAACACAACCCCACAACCCCACACAAGCACACGCACACACACACACAAATGCACACACACAAAAGCACACACACACAAAAGCACACACACACACAAAAGCACACACACACAAAAGCACACACACACACACACACACACACACACACACACACACACACACACACACACACACACACACACACACACACACACACACACACACACACACACACACACACACACACACACACACACACACACACAGACACACAGACACACAGACACACAGACACACAGACACACAGACACACAGACACACAGACACACAGACACACAGACACACAGACACACACACAGTCACAGATACACACACACACTCATTCACACACACATTCACTCACTCATTCACACACACATTCACACACACACACACATTCACACACAC